TGCGCTACATAACTGCATATTTTTGTGAACCGCCCCTTAGCCACAGTGGAATAGCCGTACCCCTGTAACAATATGACACCTCTGAGATTCAACGAGAACTCAGTGGCAAAAAAGCAACCGGCTAAGCGTAGTATCGCAGCAGGCTGAATGGCATTTACGTAGCGTGACACTTCAGCATACGAATATACGATCATAGCCATGCGCGTTCTCCTAACCAGCTCAGCACCGCATCGTGCTTGTCCGAAGCAGTGTAATGAGGAAGCGCGCGTTATACAACAATGTTGCGAAAGCTTGTTTGTGTAGTGGCATCCCACAGCCCGGCAGTAGTAGCAGTCCTGAACAATCCCAGCCCTGGACAACCAGCAGCATGCAGGACACTTTCCTCAAGCATTTTTCCCGCGGTGGTGTCGCAGGTGTTCTGCTTGCATATCATGTTCAGGTGCTTACGTGTTTGCAAGGTCTCATGGTTCGGGACCTGAGGTTTGTGCTGTAGGGTTGGCGTTTGGGGCTCTTGGGTTGGCGGGATGGAGATCCGTACCCATTATGATGCTTTGCGCGAGCTCAAAGGGGAAGGGTTCATAGGCTAGGGCGAGGGCGGCTGGGGCTGGAGACCGCCGAGAAACTCGTAACACCCTGTCTACAGTCGCAGGCCCGGGAGCTCTTACTGAAGTCTCCTGCGTACTCAGCTGTGAAGGGGTGCGAGCCCTCAAACCGGCCCATGTTGTGTCTTCGAGTTCCTGGAAAACTCTGGCAAAATCGATTGAAACGAAATAGTGGAGAATGATCTGTTCAGCCGATGTGGCGGCTGTTCTTAGTTTCTATGCTGGGATGGACTGGTCCATCCTTGGCTCGTAGTCTTTATGTTTCCAGGAATCCTGGGAGCTTTGAGTGTTCTTCACAAAAGGGCTCAAAAGGCTAACCAGCCTCTGCACGTTCCGTGTCAGTTTTGGATGCAGGGCATCTTGTCCCTTTTCAGAGTTCGTTTGCGATTTATGTATTTGAAATTTCGAGCTGACGGCTAGTAGCAGTCGCTCGCAGGCGGCAAGATAGCCTTGAGGCCACAAGTGTAGGCAGTGCTCGGACTTTGAACCACGTTCGCAGAATTCGTCGCATCGGGGTCTGATACTTATTAGTATCTCCTCACGATTGTATACCAAAACATATTGAAGCAGTGTTACGATGTAACAGAATGCAACGGAGTGCAGCAGAGTGTAACACAATGTGGCATAATGTAACATACGGTGGTATTATGTACCATCAGTATAATCTGAGTATAAAGTATTTTTTGCCACAGAATTCAGAACGGAATACAAGACTGTGGCAGAACATCTTACATCTTACCAGGTAAGACAACGCAGAATGACGTAACATAGTATGACACGATAATGCAATACTATTTCATACCAGAATTTACCCTAGCATGCCGTAACATACTCTGTCTCCGGCCTTTTGCAGGCACACTGAAGGCTGCAAAGCCGATGGCGGAGGAGCCCGAGACACGTCTGCCAGGTCAGCCCTTCGTGTTGCTAAGCGGTAAACGTCACTGCAAGCCGGTTTAGGGGTTTGGGGGTTTAGGGTTTGGGGGTGGGGGTTTAGGGTTTAGGGTTTAGGGCTTAGACTAGCGCAAGAGAGCTTCAGATTCCGAAAGAAGACCGGGTAGAGTAGATACGCCAGCGAAAAGGACTGTCAAGCTGTACCAGCATTATCTACTCCAACTTGTTGAAGTGGCCTGCATTTGTGAATATACCAGACTGTGTGTGTGTGTGTGTGCGTATGCATTTATTGTCTTATCTTGCCTTGTGGTGTGGTGTGGTGTGTTGTATTGTATGGTGTTGCATGGTATTGTATAGTATGGTATGCTATTGTACTATAGTGTAATGCATTGTATTGTCTTGTATTGTACTGCAGCTCCAACTCTAGCGTACTGTACTGCATTGTATGGTATGGTATTGTACTGTGTTTTATTGTATTTTGTTGTGTTGTCTTGTATTGTGGTGAATTGTGTTGTGTTGTATGAATATCCACAGACACACACATAAATATATACTTTTTTTTATGTTATATATATATATATACATATACATATTTGCATGTATGTACATGCCCTGGGTACTCTCATCACCAGGTCTCAGGCCCCTTGATGACAGATGGATTTCTCATCTGGGGTATGACCGATTTGCACTCAAACCCTCACCCGCCCCTTCTACTGTTTACTTAGCCACATTGTGAAGTCACATAATAAGACATTACGTAAACATACTTGCATATACTAGTAACTAGTACAATATATAACATACTAGAATATAGCCCTCCCGTCAGGTTCTACCTATTTCCAGCTGCGGACGCATAGAAAAGAGAACTTTGCTACCTCGACAGAAGCGTCTCGGCGTAGGTACTGTGGATGGCTTTGGCATCACGGCTGCGGCAGATGGGTCTGGCTGAAGACCCCTGCATGTCCCATTTCTGGGATTTAGGTGTCGGTAGTAAAGATGGATTTCATGATTGTGTCTGGTGCCTCTATTGCCGCTAGGTGCCACTGACCCTGCTACTGCACTCCTGCTCGTCTTGCAACGGGACCACGACAACTACTTCTACAACTGCACCTACGTACAACCAATTACAGCTACAACTGCTACAATTGTTGCTACTGCCACGGCTACTTCTGTCGCTACTGCGGCAGAAAGCACCGGCTACTGATACTTCTACGGCTGTTAGTGCTGTTGCTGCTGCCATTGTTACTGCTACTGTTTCTTGTGCTGCCACTGCGACTGCTATATACTTGTATTGCTACTGCGGCTGCTGCTGCTGCCTACTGCTGCTACTACTGCTGGTACTAGGTAGTAGTAGTAGTAGTAGTAGTAGTGGTAGTAGTAGTAGTAGTAGTAGTACTAGTACTAGTACTAGTACTAGTACTAGTACTAGTACTAGTACTAGTAGTAGTAGTAGTAGTAGTAGTAGTAGTAGTAGTAGTACTAGTTAGTACTAGTACTGTACTAGTACTAGTACTAGTACTAGTAAGTACTAGTACTAGTAGTAGTAGTACTACTAGTACTAGTACTAGTACTAGTACTAGTACTAGTACTAGTAGTAGTACTAGTAGTACTAGTAGTACTAGTAGTACTAGTAGTAGCACTACTACTACTACTACTACTACTACTACTGCTAGTACCAGCACTACTACTACTACTACTACCACTACTACTACTACTACTGCTAGTACCAGCACTACTACTACTACTACTACTACTACGACTACTGCTACTGCTACTGCTGCTACTACTACTACTGCTACTACTGCTGTACTACTACTACTACTACTACTAGTACTACTACTACTACTACTACTACTACTACTACTACTACTACTACTACTGCTGCCACTACTACTATGTTGGTTTGGTGACACAACTACTACTACTTCTTCTGCTGCTGCTGCTTCTTCTGCTACTGCTGCTGCTTCTTTCCTTCTACTTCTACTACTACGGCGCACAATCGAGAAGTGTGCAAAGCCACCACCACTGCTATCGTTACTCTCCTTATTATTCAAACGACGACGACTACTACTGCTACTACTGCTGCTACTACGACTGCTGCTACTGCTACTAATACGACGACAGCTACTACGATTACTACGATTGCGGCAACGACGAAGGCTACTAGTACTGCTGCCGATTCTTTTCTTTCTTCGGCTGCTTCGAGCCCTACTGCCACTACTCCTACTTCGTTCGGCCGCGGTTACACTCATCAATTGACACTGCCGCTGTTGCCACTAGACATCGTTCGTCTCTTCCTACTGCGGCGAGTTGTTTTAACATTGCAGCGTTGCTACTCAGACAGTTGTGCTCATCTTGGCTCTGTCTCTACCATGTTCAACGCAGTCATGACCAATAACTATTCACAGTACTTACTATTGTATCTTCAACATCTTTGTCATGGCTACTTTCGGCAGTAGTCACTGCTTTTGCCGTTGCTACTCCAGGTCACGCTTTTAACATTGATGTTCTGTTATGCTAGAACACATCGTTTCTTGGTTCCCTCTTTCCACGACGGATGATTCCTGCAAGTTGTCACCAGTCGTGTCTCACCATTATCACCCAGCTACAGACGTAGCAGGGTGGCACCCAGTTACTGCCAGTTGCCATCAGTTTTTCGGAGCAATTGAGCACCAGCTTCCATTGTGTAGTATCCTCAAGCTTGCAAGAACGCCTGAACTGCGGAAAACGCCTGCATTTCATAAAACCCTGAGCCCTGAAACCTGTACCCTCCATAGCTTCAGAAGTCCGGGTCCTGAAAGTAACGATGGTCTCTGGCACAATCGCTGGGATGCCCCAGGTATCACCTTCAGTGCCCAGTCTGAAGCAAAGTCTAGGACTAGGTGCCGAGTCAGCGGACGATGACTTCGGAAGCCAAATCTCCCACATCGGAGGGCTGGTGGGTTAGCGTTTTTGGAAATCGGCCCGAAGCCTTCCCGGGATGACTTTCGAGCGGCTGCTGGATAATCCAGTCCGGGCGTGTTTCCTTCTCTTTCCTCTAAGACCAGCCCCAATCCCAGACCTTCCAAAAACAGTATTGATACTAACAGTAACAATACTACCACTAGCAACCCTAATAATATCAATACTACTCATGACAATGCTAATCTTATCACGACTTGTGTGGCTCAGTTCCGGACTCCGGCTTCCCAGCGCGAAAGCGAAACCGAGTCCCGCCAGATCCCGGCTCTTAGGAGAACCCGGGAACCCATAGCGGCTTGGGGTTTAGGTTTCAGGCTTTAGGGTTTAGCCATGTATCCAGGCGATTGCACCAGTCCTGATGCAAAAAAGGGAGACCTTAAGGCTAGAAGAAGGAATCCTTTTAGACCCCTACTGGAGAACCCGAGAACCTAAAGCCCTACACCCCTGTAGATCCCTTTAGAGGAACCCTTCCAGATCCCTTTCCGTTTGAAGGAACCCGCAGAATCCATGACGGCTTCTTTAGAGTCGCGAGCCTGAAGCCAGCAAATGGGATGGCCTCTGCTGCTTCTGCTGACTGCAGCGAGGTTTCGTGGAGCGGCGCTTGGTCATTTGGGGGCTTTGGGGCAGTTCTTTTGCTCCTCTGGGCCAACCCCATTTCTCCAAAAAAGCTGATTCAATAGTCTAGTAACCACCGTCCTTTGCATAGGGCCTTGCCCCCCTGACTAATTAATTTTCAGAGGAACTTTAGGAAATCAAATACGGTTTGGTTTGGAAGATATGAAACAAAGTATGCAGGAAAGTGTGGTTGGGTTTTCACAGCGTGAATCAAAGTCTGGCTTGGGTTTCGGGATGTAAAAGAAAGTGTGGGTTGGGACTGCTAATTACAAGCAATAACTACAATGAGTCTAAGGCGAGGGAAGGAAGTGGGGGTAAGGGATGAAACGGGGTCGCTGAATGTGACACATCCAGGTGCCTGTCTGTTTCACGCGTTACATGCACGGATGCATGCTTGCTGCTCATCAAGGTTCTGGCAGAGTATTGACTACAGCTGTGAGCCTGTAGAAGAAAGAGACTCTTTCGTTGTTTGTAGGCTTGTACCTCTGCGAGCGTCTTCCCGCCCAGGTTACATCTCAAAGGGGAAGGTAGGGGGGGGGCGGAAGAGCGGCCGGGGAGGGCCCCGGGAGCGTTTCGGCTCTCTCGTTTTTCCCTAGGTTGTCTCGCCTCCCGGCCTCCTGGGCGAGGCCTTTTGTCCACTCGTTGTTCTCTTTTGTTGTTTTTTCTCTCTTTTTGTTTCTCATTTATTTATCTTTTTTTTCTCATTTTATTTCTCTTTTTTTTCTGGTTTTTTCCTTATTTTTTCCTTATTTTTCCTAAGGCTCTCCTAAAAAACCAGACCCGGGCCAGGTCCGAGCCGGCCTGCCTGGAAATGTGAAAAAAAACCTGATGGGAAACGTGGCTCCGGAAGGACCCCGCGCAGAGAAATGTGACTCCGCCCGGAGGCAAATGCGCCAGGACTTAAGCTTGTGGTGCCCCCCTGTCCCTGCTGCCTGGGCCTTTGGGCCTTCCCCTGCCGGGCTCGACTCTCTACGCACAGCAGCCCCGACGCGTTCACCGCTGAGCTGCTGGGTTGTTCTGGCCGCCGTTCTTCTTGCTTGGCGAGGCTTACACCGATGCATGTACAATCTAGCATCTAGACTACGTTGGTGACTCGCTTCTAGGTCGTTCATGCAATCCAAGAAGGCAACATCAGCAAAGTTTAGGTGGGGTGAAAGAAGTCGAGTTCCGATAGCCCCGCCGGAACACAACAATGTCCACGGATTGCGTGTTAGTGTTTTCTTCTGCACATGCCAAAAACTCCGTCAGATCGTGCATTCTTTATGTACAGAATACAATGGAGAAACACAGGTTCACATCTTATTTGATATTGGTATACAGACCTCGCATTCTCTGCCACATTTTGCTTTACAATCATTTCTCTGAATCACATTTCTTTTCATTTTTCCATTCCTGTGCCATACTTTTTTCCATACTTTCACCCAGACAGTCTCCAGGAATTAATTATATTGGAAAACCTTGCCTATGCAAGGCCGTGGGGATTACTACAATAGTCAAAAGGCAAATTACCGAATTAAAAGAAAAGAACTGTGTCTTTTGGGCCAGGCCCATCTCCACCAACACAGCGGAGATCCCCGCGGTCACCTTGGGCAACGGGCGCAGGCGCGGCGAGAGCTTCCGTGACCCGAGCCCCAGTCGCCGTGCTCCGAATCAAGAAGCCCCTCTGTAACTACGGTGGATGGACAGAATCCTGCATGACCCAATATAAGGAATATACCATAATTCCCATAGTTTAGGGTCCTTAAGGTCATGCAGGATTTTGTCCATCAACAGTATGGCATAGTATAACTGTTTACTACACCATAGTAGTATCTTGTAGCATAATATACGAAACTTTCTGCAATGATAGTGTAACATACTGTAAGTAGAGTATAGTATACTGTAATTCTAGTATGGTGTAACTTGCTAACATCCCCTTGGAACCTATTCTATTCATTAAGGCCCCTAAACTCCGAGCAGACATCCCGCACTGTCGAGAACTTGAAGTGAAGCTTCAGCCCTTCGCAACATGGGTCGTTGTCTAAATTATGGTCCCTTTTTGGGTCCTGATTATATTACGGCCCCTAATATTTGCGGTACCCAAAAAGGGGCTATAATTTTGAGAACTTCCCATTTAAGCGCCTTCATAATCAGATTAGGGTTCCCTTTAAAGTCCTTAATCAGATTAGGGTTCCCTTTAAAGGGTTCCTTAAAATGGTTCTACGACCCATTTGTCAAAGCGAGGTTCCCGCTCCTGGGTCTGGGCTGCGCCAGCGGTGTCAGGCGGATCGCATGCAGGGAAGGGGGGGGCTCTGGACCTGTGTTTGCGGAGAGGAAATCTCAAGAGCCCTGCGCGCTGGTTAGTATAGTATCGTATACTTACTGTAGTTCTAGAAGAGTATTCTGTTCTAAAGTAGAGTGCAGGGCGAGGTTCCCAAACTCTTGCAAGGAGGTCAGACTGGCTCGTCAGCGACTTTCACTGTCAGCCGGCATGACTGCCCCCTAGCAGCTCTCCGCCAGGCAGTCGCATGTGCTTTCAGCACTGGAGATTGGGTATCGGAACTTCGATACCGCCCAAGCCTATCAGATGCTGGGCCGCAGTTGCCGGTGCATGTTTGAGGTGCACGCTCAAAGCCCATAGGTTTAATCCTTGCCGCTGCCGAGGTGGGGCTACCACGAGGAGGAGGTGGGCGAAGCTGTCTACCTAAGTGGCATACCGCGCGAGGAGCCGAGTTTGCATGCAGCAAGTGCGGGAAGACTTTTAGATATCCTTCTAGAAGCTACGAGCGCGAGATGCCCACGAACCATCTTGCTATTTACCAAGGAACTGTTTCTGCAAAGTGCTTAGCTTAGTTGTCCCAGGGTTCGGAGTCTTGAGCGGCAAGCACCAAGTGGACAAGCCGTGACACTAGCCATTGACATTGAGGGAGCTAAGGAGCCAGGGATGATGATAATCCCTATTAGCCCTATTAGATAAGGAGCTAAAGAACCATGGGAACCCCCAAAACCACGGATTAGGGCACTCCGAAGCTTCATTCTGGGCTGGACATGTGGGGTTTTGGTCCGAGACAGCAGATGAGGCAAGATACACCCAGAGGATTTGGGCTACACAGCGACAAAGCAGGCGCTCGCGGTGTCGCTGCAGCGATTGAACACCACGTACTTGGATGCGATTCTGCTCCCTGCCACGGATGTTGTTGTTGGGAAGTTCTGGTCGTGATTGTCTCGTTGCGGCAGTGTTCAACATAGAACTGCCATACTTATGAAGTTTCGCTATGTTGCGTGTTTATCAGCAGAGGACGTGCCGCGAGGGTTTCCAGAGGACTACGCCATGCCTCAGCTGTGCATGGCAGTCGCAAGTATTCCAAGCAGACATTGCGCAGCTTGAACCGGAGCATGTTGACCCTGAGCCGAAATTTATTAGGTGCCACGGCGCCAACTGACATTATTCTTGTTAATACTACTACCAATAATGGACAGCAGTAATCCTAAAAGTCGCAATCACAAGAAAAAATCACCTAAGTCAAGAGTAACAGCAGCCGTTATAACTATGCTGACAGTTTGCCCCACCGGTCCCGGCCCTGTCTCTTGAGGCTGCACAAGCCGCGTTGCTGGCCTGGTGCTTGTGCTCGCCATCCAGACGGCACCTGGCAGGAAAGTTGGCGGGCGTTGGAGGACCCCGCAGTTGGATCAGAGGGCTACCCTAGGCTCAAACCCTCCAGAGACTCCTCGGCACCAGGGCATTCACAAAAGAAGTCTAATAGTACAAATAGTCATAACAATAGTACTCATATAATAGTACTCACAATAGTAGTAATAGTCATAATACTAATAAAGATGCTAATGCTAATAATGCTAATGAAAAGCCGAAAGCACTGGCAAACTCCGTCTGACCCTGGCCCTCCTCCATGCTTCTCTGTGAGGTTTTGGCCGGAGAAGGTGTGCCTTTAGGGTCGCTAAGGCTTTGATGAGGGAGTTTCGACAAAAAGTAGCTTAAACAGCGGGATCCTGATTATAAGGACCCCCCAAATAACGTACCCCTCATATTCGGAAGCTCCCATGATGGTTTGGACTTCCAGCAACAGCACAGACCTTCCGGGAAAGTTTCGGGGCAAGTTTGCGCTCCTGGCAGGACATGCTGGATGATGGTCTGGTTCATGCGATCGGCATCTGTGACGTCGATGAACCTTTATTGGAGGAGCTGCTGCAACAGCGGCAGAAGCCTCACATCATCCAGAACTGGTGCCTCGCCTGAAGCTTGAACCCGACCCTCCCAGCAGCCGCCATCGTTGCTACCAGTTTAGATGAACGCCAGTGGCAACGATCCAAATTTCTGCCGAAGCTGTCTCAGTTTGCGTATCTGCAGCCCGAGTGTTCTAAGCAACACCTAGGCCCCGGAACATCCCTAAACCACCCAAAACCCCTAGACCCTCAACCCGGAAAGCCGACTGCGGCAAACTTTAAAAAAGAACCCGAAAATCTAAACTCAGCTTCAGGATGGATCCCTTCCACCAGGACCGGGAGGTGAGGCGAAGGTGCCGCGAGGCGCGAATGAAGGGGTCACAAGTTCTTCGGGCCGAAGGCTCCTATGCGGAAGCCGTGAATCCGAAGGCCGACATCCAGTACCAAGCCTACAGCAGCCTCGGCACCCAGTGGCTCCACTTCAGGGGCCGCTCCTCTGCAAACCGGAAAGGTTTCGGGTTTCGGTGCCGGGGGCTTCACAGCCGAAGAGCGAGGATGGTGATAAAGCGTAAATAGCCACAGAGAAATTTAGTGTCGAAAGGGAGAGAGAAGAATAGGCACCCAAGCCTGCAGCAAGCATGCAAGCAAGGTAGTTATCATAGGAATGCTAGTGTTGCGTGTCCTTCGCCTTCGGGATGTTTGCATCTCAAACCGACTGTCGCGTCTTGCAGAAACCGGGTCACGGGTTCGAATCCAATATCGAAAACTTGTGTCAACTGTACCCCGCCAACGACCACTGCCTGCATCAACAGAACGTCCGTGCATGCTGGCCCGAAGTTCACGAACACCAAACCCCTTCCGAGACTCTTGATGATGGCACGGCAGAGAGAGAGAGAGAGAGGGAGAGAAACCCGGTGAAAGGTCAGCAAATCGCCCGAATCTCACCCGAAACCTCGCACCATAAAGCGATTTTGGGCATTTTGCCGTCATTCTGGTGCCGAGATCTCGAAATGAGCACAGTTTGCACTCTGAGCCACAGGATGACCAAAGGTAGCCCTGCCTAGGGCCTGGTGATTCGCTCAGCAATGCAGGGAGGCCACAATCACCTTGAGCCTTACCGGCCTTGAGGCCTTGGGGCACAAGGCTGGAGCCCATTCAAGATTCCGACTGTCTAGGTAGCATTGCAGAGCGCAAGAAATGGTCCGACATGCTGTGCAAGCATCCGGCTTGGTGAGTGCTTCTCTGCCGAGATGGTCGCGCTCTGTGGGCGCCGAAACCCAAACCCTGAGCCCCAAGCCTAAACCCGAGTTTATGAGTAGCTTGTATACCCTAAACCCTAAACCCTATAGCACTGAGTGCAAAGCAGAGTAGTTTGAGTACATAACGCCGTCACCCAAACACAGAGACCTCCTCTGGCGAGCCCGAGTTGCGAGAGTGTAAACCCTATAGCCGTCCCACCTGATGCACCGAGGCCACATCTTTAACCCGGTCTTTGCGAACCCAGTGCTTCGGAAGATCGCGGAGCAGCAACAAGGGAACGTTGCCCAGGAGCTGCGGGGTTCAGGGGGTTTAATGTAGGGGCCCAAATAATTACCAATACTATTTCTGGCATTCCTTGCAATAATTATAGTATAGTGGGCCACAAAACCCTATTCTAATTTGTAAGGCCCCTATATTAGAGGTGGAGGGCTCGGCTAAAGTGCGGCCGTGGGGGGCTTCTATTCAAGTTGGGCTCTATACTAAGGGTCTGCCCTGTAGGTTGCAAGGGTTGACGATCCCTACTGCTTGGTGTCCGAGAAAAGACCCTCATGACCCATGTTCTTCTTCTCGAAGCGACTGTCCTGGCCGTCTTCCTCGACGAAGGATCGACGAAGAATCGTGAACGAGGGGTGGGGGGAAGTAAAAGGAGCGTTCAGGCCAACGCGCAAGTCCTGACGCAGAAAGAAGTTAATGGTGGAGGTATTGTTTCGGTCAAGCTTCCGAAGTTTCCTTCCTTATTTCGTGCACATGCCTGGCCGCACAAGATGAGCAAAGCATCCCAAGCCCCCTACGTCCGAACTACGCCAGGTCGTCCTGGCTTGGGCACTTCACCTCGGCGTGGCCGTCATCCCTGCTTCGACAAGCAAGGAACGGCAGAGGCCCGAGGCTCAGAAGCAGACATCTACGGCAAGGAGATAGAGCTCAGTTTGGTGGGAGTCTTTGACTCGTGACGAGATTTCTTATTGCATCATGCCTATCATTTTGCGTGGAGATTGCTGGCGCTAAGTGCTACGTGTTTGCGGTTCGGGTCGCCTTGCGATGGAAATACTTGCCCAAACTGTGTGGCACAAACAATGGTGTTCTGACGTCCCATAGTAAAAGAAGTGATTGGAGTGAGTGCGATGTCCTGTTATGTACACAGGATCCATTATGCCTCGTTCCCCAGACTGCCAAATCTGTAGTACATTCCATTTGCGAAGCTTCGTTTTGGCTCGATATGCCTGGAGAAAGCATGTTGGCAGTGCTCCCGAACCCCGCAAGTATGTAGGCGGAAGCAAGTTACACTACTTTGCTATGATTCGTGTTCTGCCGATACACCCTAGTTTGAGCTTAAACTCCACCCCGCAGCACTACCGGAGCGGTTAGTAGCACTGCTCATCATTTGCTCCCCGCTGCTCGTCGTCGTTGTTACGCCCATGATGATTATGACTGCTCTTGCACTGCTGCGATGGAAGTAGTCAGCAGTAGCAGAAGCAGTAGTGACTGCTGCTCAGCTCTGAAGCCTGGGTTTTGCGTGGGTTACCCTTTCTCGGCTGGACGAGTGCTATTTGGAATTTCGTTCTACACCTTATATAAACTGTGCACCACAAGAACCACCTCTCCCAAATCCCGGCAGGTCGAATTTGCACAGCTTCGCCTGCCGACCTGGCCCGCATCGACGGTCTGGATGGGGCGCTGGAGATCCCGTTGCCCGTAGAACCGTTGAGTAGTACGAGTGGGGAGGGCGGCATGGTAGACCACCTACGTTTCTAAACATGGAGGAGGACGACTGGTAATTTTGTTGCTGGCTTCAGGCCTCTCAAATCCTCTCAAGTCAGCCTATGCCAGAAAATTGAAAGAGAGTTGCAGGATTCGCAATGCGGGGACTTGAAGCGAAACAAAATCGAGTCATATGGGAATTTCCGAAACTAGGTGACCCTTGTTGTAGTACCCCAACTAGTAGGATCCTTACTATAAGGACCCCAAAACAAGGTACCCCCAATTTTCGGAAACTCCCGTATGGTGGAACCTGGAGGATGCCCCTTCGGTGGATTTGGCCTTCGAAAACAGCGGCGTTTTGACTGCTCGGAAGTTTGTGGGGATTTGGGGCATCGATTCCCGGAGGGGTTCGGTTGCTTGTTAGTGTTAATGCAGTGTTTTCGTGTTGCAATGTGTTTTGTGATCTGGAGCGCTCAACAGATGCAATGCGTAGAAATTCGTAAATGGGCTGCTTTGAACAATTCTCGGATCAGGGTCATCATTGGAATCGCTACTAGCTTGATTCCATTGCAAACGTTAGCGACAGAGAGACAGAGAGAGAGAAATGTGGGTAGGGAGGCAGTCGTTCGCTTGAGTTCAGCCTTGCCTGAAGGGCTTCGGGCAGCCCTGAACCGTACATCCTCCGTCTTCAGCCTGAGATCCGACCCCTGAACCGTGCATTCCAGACTTTGGATGGGCATTGCCTGCCTGGCCCAACTTTCCTCCACAGACGCTTACAGTCCAGAGTCGCAGACCAGGAAAGAGCCAGCATCGCCCGGTCCACTCCGAGCTCTGAGCCGGCCAAAGCAGCCAAAACAGAGACGCAGCAACGTGGACAACAGCGTCTGGACCCGTCTTCTGCAGAGAGATACGCGTACCTACGCCAGTGTGCTTGTACGATGCTCGTATGCATTCAGGCATGCAGTGGAACATGCGAGCGTAGCTAGCCTGTACCTCTACCTAACTACCCTCTACATCCCAACATGTGTACACACACATGTATATATACATACATACACGTGTGCTTTATGCCAGGGTTGATTTGCGTGGTCACACATACACACGTCATGAATGCCGTGCCCGTATCGCGCACATATGCATGCATGCATGCATACGTGCGAGGGAGGTGTGCAGGTATGTACCTACAGCGTGAATGTCTCATTTGCTGATTTTGTTGTTTTTGGTACGCCCTTCAAAGCCTTCAAGAAGCCCGGTCCCTCGTGTCTGCAGGTTTCTGCTTTTGTGACTCAAGGGCTCTAGAGGATGAAGGCTTGTTGAAACCATGTCTTAACGTTCAAATTGTCTTCCCCTAACCCCGCGACAGCTATGCTCGCTGTGGGGCTCGGCATTCAGCTGAGGTATTTGCGCAATGAGCTTTGGGTGGTTTTTGCAAAGTTCGATAGCTTGCTCGCCTGCACCTGCAAGTTTCTAGGCTGGACAGCATGAGCTCACAGAAGCGCCAGCCAAGCGAAAGCCAGCAAACAAGCTGAAAATCCATGCCAACGCTCAAACCCAAGATTGATGTTTTTTTGAAGCCCGACCTTATCCTCGTCAACTGCGAAGTATGAGGCACAAGCCAGAAAGAGCCTTACATAAGACCCCAACTGAAGCATTGCACGCTCAAAACCCCATGCGGCATCCAAAAACTCCTGTGCCTAAGCCTTAGCCAGAAGCGACCGAGAGTCGAAAGGAACAACCGAGGGCAAAACATCAGATCTCCTGCCGCACCTTCAAGGGAAAACTTATCCTTGCTGGGTAGGAGGGCAGAAAAACCCCTTTAGCATAAACCTGAAGCCCACGCGGGAACACGGCCATGGCGCCTCAGAGCCCTAAGTCGGCTGCGGCTGTTGCGGCCTCGTCGGGGACCGAGTCAGCGACCGAAAGCAGCGGAGCAGAAAGCGACAACTCAACGGGAGGCTCGGGCAGGGTTTAGGTTTCAAGCAGGGTTTAGGTGAGGGGAGGGTTGATGGTTTTTCATAGGGCTTGGGGTCACGAGGTTGTGATGTTGAGGGATGCTAGGTTGTCTCAGGTTGTATTGCTTCTCCGTGCTTCGTTGTGCCGTTTTTTGTTTGTTGTGCGACTTCAGCAGGTGGGTGGTTTGAGTCTGTGGATGGCATCAAACTTGACAAGTTTGTGTGCTTCACATGCTCTCACTTATCGGGCTCCGGGGGGTTTTGATTTTCGTTTTCGGGACAAGCTGTAGGGTTCGAGTTTTGGTTGTCGGGAGGCGCAGGGGGATTGTCGTTCTCAAGGTTGTTGGAGATTGCTTCGGTTCACACTGCAGAGATCCTGGCGTGCCGTAGCTTGTCAGGACGTCTCCTACAGCGGCTGAGGGAGGTTCTCCTGCCTGGGCTTGTCTGGGAGCAGCCATCGGCCTGCGGCTCAGACGTCGGTGCTGGCTAATACGAATGGTAACAATACGGTTGATGATATATATATATATAGATGAATCCTGCATTACCTTAAGGACCTTAAACTATGGGAATTATGGTTTGTTGCCAGGATTCGTGTCATGCAAATTATTGTCAAGTGGAGTGGACCGTGTGAGTTCCTGAGCTTGTGGCGCATGAGGTTTCACAGGTGCAGTGACTGTGCGTTCGACCGAAGGGTGGGATCTCTGCTCGAGCTGGCCAAAAAGGCTTCTTGCATTTGTGTAGGCTGTAGTGCCTGCAGCTGCTGAGGGCATTCCGCCCGTTACATGGCAGCGGAGCACCTGGTGCGGCCGCTTTGAAAAGATCTGGGGCGACTTCCATTTTTCCCTGGGGAGGACCGTTGCTTCTGTATAGGCTTTTTGCTGCAGCTGACCCTTCGGTTTGTCTATGTCGACTTTTACCTCAGATGTGCCAGCGTGGGATGGAAATCCTTCCACATACCTTGCTTTCGAGGTAGCCTGCCGTTGGTATGAGAAGACCCTCAAAGAGAATGAGAGAAGAGGGGCTGCCGCTCGCGTGTGGTCGAAGCTGTCGGGTCCGGCGAGGTCGGTCGTGAAACACCTTAGCCCCGAAGACTTCGACACCGCAAATGGCCTTGACAAGCTCCTTGAGGTTTTGCGCTCTTCGCCTCTCCAGTCGTTACCCATACCTGATTCGTTCTCGAAGTTGGAGCGGTGGCATCAGCTGAAAAGACGCGATCAGGAGACGATTCCTGAGCTGCTGGTGCGTGAAGACGAACTCTTTCTTGAACTCCAACAGAGCCTTTTGAGGTCGCGGGCTCGGGACAAGCCTGTGCTGATCAAGGCGCCTGTCGAGCCTGGCCCGGAGGGCGCGGCGTCACCTGGCGCATCGCCCAGCTCTGCCAAGAAAGAGGAGAAGGACGATGACGGCGAGAAGGCGGCGGAGAGCCCGACGACTCCGATACCGGTCGTTCCTCGAGACGGGATTAAGACTCTGGATTTCTTCGACAACGAGCTGCGAGGTTTCAGATTGCTAAAAGCTGCTGGCGTCTCCCATTCTGAGAGACAACAGGTCTTGACCCTTACAGGGAACTCGGTGGCTTTCGAGAAGATCCGCCAGGCGCTTCGCGCCTTGTTTGATGATACAGACCCTAGCTCCCGACGGCCCAAACAGCGCATCTATTGGGAGGACTACGAGGACTCTCCCCACAACTATTTCGATGATGATGTGACGGCTTACTGGGCCGCTTGGCCGGGATATGAGTCCTACTGGGCTTCCGGTGGCGATGGCTGGGACGAGCCCGAGTGGGAAGATGCCTGGCCGGACGACGATCCCGCTTGGCAGGAGGAGAGCTACGTGGCCGAGGCGGACCAGAGCGAGATTGCCGAGGACGAGGAGAGCCTAGTGAATCAGGAAAAGGAGGCCTCGATCCTTGCTGCCGAGGCGAACCGGACCTTAGCTGAGGCCCGGGCGGCGATTCAGAAGGTGCGGTCGGCCAGGGGGTACTTTCCCTTGGGCGGCAAGACCGGCTCGAAGGGCCACTCACCTTCAATGAAGGGCAAGGACAAGGGCAAGAAGGGATTCGGCAAGGCAGGCGGCAAATCTTCGAAGGGCAAGGGTTGCATTTTGTGCGGCCGGACAGGCCACTACTTCCGAGATTGCCCCGGCCGCTTAGCAAAGGGCAAGCCTGGAAAGGGGCCGAGCAAGGGATCTGGTTCCTTTTGGGTCGAGCCCTACCACCAGATCTACTTCTGTGGCGCGGGTGAGGAGGCCGAGTATGCCGACGACGACCAGGCCGGGCCTCCCGATTACCCGACTCCGGATAATGAGGACCTTGCGGCCCGCTCCGACGGCACGATCATGCCCTTTGAGAGCTTTGCTGGGCCCTTCGATGGCACGATCAGGCCCTTTGAGAGCTCCACCGGGCCCCTGGATGTTGCGATCCAGCCTTATGACAACGCTGAGGTCTCATGTGGCAGCACCAGGCAGGAAGTGATCCCTCTGTTTGTGATGTCGGTTGACACTTTGTACCACACCATGTCTTCGGGATCACCTGGTTTTGTGCTTGACACTGGCGCCACTGAGACGGCGATAGGGGTCCAAACCTTGCATGATTTGCTGCAGGTGACCAGACTTAAGTACACAGTGGACACTTCTGAGAGGCCTGTGTTCCGTTTTGGCGACGGCATGTCTCTGAGGGCGGCTTCGAAAGTGACTTTGCATGGCACTTCGCTCGGGGCCGTTAGTTTCTTCGTGCTAGATGGTGACCACCGACCTCAGACCAGGAATGCCTCGTCAACCCCCGCATTGATTGGCAGCCGTTATTTTCGTGATCGCAGAGCCACAATATCTTATGAACACATGTCGTTGTGGTTTCTCGACTCGGCCAATTCCTTGTGGGGCACCGACCTTTTGCAGACTCAGTCGGGGCATCTCTTGGTACCGGTAGACAATGACATCATGAACATCACAGCCTTGCGTAGCAAAACGGAAGAGACCTACGGTGTTGTGTTGCCACCTGATGCCCCGAGCTTGATAGACCTTCTTTCGACCCCGGGGGCAGTGAAAGAGCTCAAGAAGATCCAAGACCGCCGGGTTGAAAACAAAGGGGCAGTGCTGGCAGCTAGTGCGAGTGCATCCGGCGACCAGGTGAGTGCCTCTGACCAGGGTGGAAGTTCATCGGCTATCTTGGTTGGCAACACCAGCGGTTCGTGTGATCCTGTTCTCCGACCGTCTTTGGTTCAGAGACTTCGGAGCCTCCGACTTCGCTTAGGCTGCCTTGCTTTGAACCGTGACACCTCTGCCCCGCTTCATGTCGAGCTCCAAGCTTCCCGCTCCCTCGGACGATCCTCGGGTATCGGGCTGGCCGTGCAAGGGCCGCCACAATCCGAGCGGAATCCGCCAGAATCAGTACGGGACATGGCGAGTGTGCGAGGTGTGCGGCTTGCGGCTGTCTTACGACAAGAAGAAGGGCGGCCACGGGTACTCGAGGACGGCGGGACCACCGGCAGCACATGTCGAGACGGCCCTCGAGGAGCTGCGCATGGCGATGCACGCGGAGGAGCTGACTGAGAGCATCGTGAAGGGCAAGATCATGGAAGTGCAGGGCCGCAAAATGACCCGGGGCGAGAAGGTTCGGGTGCAGACGTTGATGGAGGAACGCGAGCCCTCACCATCACCGCCGACGTGCGACAGTCGCCGGAGGCAGGGTGTGAAGAAGGAGACGGGCGGCCCGACGACCGCCCCGGCGATGGCATCGCTCCGTCCGAAGACGGGTGCCAAGCCTCCACTGACGATCCCCTCGGAGGCCACGTCGAGCGAGAAGCCCAAGGACGAGCACTTCAAGGAGATCCAGGAGGCCTGGATGACCATTCGCGACCAAGAGGATCGCCTGCTTCTTCTCAAGACGCGGCTCCAAGAGGAGTTGGTGGCCAACGGCAAGGACCCGGAAAAGGAGTTCAACAAGATGAGTTGGATGGGCGACGCTCGCAGCGACGGCGGGCGAAGCAATGTGTAGAGTGTTGCTCTGGAGCAGGCCATGGGAAATCATCCCATATGATCGGCAAGGGGGGCTTGGAGAGCCACTCGGGTGCCGAAGATCGCGACAATGATGCTATCAAAGGCCTGCCCTCAAAGAGCAAAGGTTTCACGAACGCCATTCGGCGAAGCATGCATTTGGCCGGGGCTACTTACTTCCTGCCCCTGCTCTGCACTGCGACCTGTTTGCTGAATTCAATAGAAAATCCGGAATTCATTGAATCGAAGTGAATGGTGGTTACCGAGACGGCCATTTTGGCGACGTCTTCCAGGAAGCCGGGATCACCTATGAGCTGAGGAGTCCTAAGACGGGGCACCTCATTGATCGCAAGGAGACGGCCATCAGAGTTGTGAGTGAGATTGTCCAGAAGGAGCCCTTCATGGTGTGGTTGGCTCCTGCAGCTCGCCCAAGCAAACCTTGTGATCCCTTGGAAAGCCCAGGACAGTGGAGGAACCGCCAACGGGCCCAGCGCCGGGCTCTGGAGGTCGCTGAATCCTTGGCCGAGGCCGGATGCCAACAACTTCGAGCCGGCCGCGAGTTCGTGTGGGAATGGCCGCTTTCGGCAACTTATGGTCGTGATTGTGCGGCCCTGCGGAACCTCACAGCTGCGGCCACTGAGACCGGAAAGAAGCTGTGCGACTTCGTCATTGAGGGCTGCGCGGATCATGAAGACCGCAGCGCTCATGGCAAGCGGTGGCGGATTATAACTACGAGCCGCCAAGTTGCAGCTTCTCTTCGTCGTTGCCGGTGTCCGGGCCATAAAGAACATCCTGATGATCCTGGCCCTGTGCGTCTACCTCACCGCCTTCGTGAAGCTGCTCTAGATGGAGTTCGCTGGGAGATGCAGGGCGATGACAACGACATCCGCGAGGACCTTCGATGCCTCTCGACTGGGGAGGAGAGGGCCTACGCCTTGTCCCGAGAGGGCACTGCGATGCCTTTGGACAAGCCGTCCGGCAAGCGACTGGCCATGGTCCGTGACCTGATGATGCGCATCCACCGTGCCTCTGGGCATGCTTCCTTCTCCAACTTGGCGAAGCTTCTGGAACGCAGAGGCAGCCCAAAGTGGGCTGTGGAAATGGCGGCAGAGATGACCTGCCCGGATTGCGCGGAAACTCGGCGCCCACCTGGAGCGCCTGTGGCGAGTGCCGATGAGCCGGCCAGTCTCTGGGAGGTTCTCGGGGCGGACGTTTTCGAGTACGAGTTCGTGAAGGACGGGAAACCCTTTAAGTGTAAGGCCCTGTTGATGGTGGATAGAGCGTCTCGGTATGCCTCGACCTATGTCTTCAGGGAGTTCCCGAGTGATGAATCGTGGGAGCCCGACACTTCTGAGATCAAGAAGGCCATTGTTGCAGGATGGTTGGCACATAACCCTGCGCCAAAGTGGCTGTTCACCGACGCTGCTCCATACTTTACCAGTCGTGAAATGCTGGACTTCGTTGGTCGCAGCGGGATCGGGCTGTTAACCGCGCCGGCCGAAGCACACTGGCTTCTGGGCGTAGAAGAACGGACGATTCAGATCATCAAGCGAGCCGCTGACAAGATCGACAAGGAGGACCTCGGGCTAGGTGTTTCAGAGTTGTTGTCTCTCGCATGCCACGGTCACAACTCTCATATTCATTCTGCGACCGGGTATTCGCCTTTCCAGTGGGCGAGGGGATGGCAACGAGAAGATTCTGTTCCGGTTGGGCTTGATCCCAAGCGAGCTTTCTCTCGGACTCTGCTGTTGCGGGCTAAAGCTGAGACCGCCTTTGCCCGAGCTGACGCCGCTGAGAAACTGTCTCGTTTGAACAACACGGTTCAGAGGCCTACTGCCAAATATGACCCAGGATCTCTCGTGATGCTTTGGAGAGTTCGGGCCAAAGCTGGCCGCGGGGCCTGGACTGGCCCACTTCGTGTTCTTCTGCAGGAGGGCACCACCTTGTGGTTGGCGACTGGGTCCACCATGGTGAAGGCCAAGACCAACCAGGTCAGAAAGTGCACTGAGCGTGAGACCTTGGTCGTGTCTACCCAAGGAGCCGTGGTTCACCGCACCGCGGTTGGGTTGGACATTCTTTTGAGGGGCTATCGCGGCAAGCATTTTCTGGATGCCACCCAGGAAAACCCGGGACAGGACCTCCTCGAGGACCTGGGGCCTGCAGATGTTCAAGCTGAGCCTCCCCACCAGGAAGATGCTCCACAAGGCCGTGGTGAAAGAGATGTCTGGGAAATCCGTGACAGCATGTTGATCCGGAAGCATCGTGTACCACGCCTGACCTTGTTTACGCCGGTGAGAATCAAGGACCTACCAGTACTTGAAGATCACCTTTCTGGGAGAAGACGCACTGTGTTGCAGTCTCCTGGCGGCGGAAACGTCATCGAGGACAACTACAAGACTGACCCGAAGCCTGCGAGGTCAATGATGGACCGCTGGCGAGGCGAGACCCAGTTTGAGATCTTGCCGGAGCACTGTGCTAAATACCTGCCAGCGCGTGACCCAGATCTGGCCCGACGGCCGGAAGAGTCAGCGAGGAAGGCTCCACGCCTTCAGGGTCCCGAGGCGAGCTCTTCCAGTTCACCACCTCCTCTTCCTGAACATGATCCTCTTGAAGATCTTCCGGTTCCAGCCTCTCAGTCTGGAATTGCCGCGGAGATCGGTGATGATGAACCTCCTGTTCCTGACACTCCGGTGCCACCTGAGTTTTCTCGAGGAGAGCGAAGCGGAAACGCTCCTCTCTTCCGTGGTGGCTCTGAGCAACAGCTACCTGAACAGCCTGAGTTTCTTGAGGAGGAGCACGCGAGCGCGGCACCCTACTCAACCTCTGAGGAATCCTCCGACGAGGAGCTCCTGCCAGACGGTGACGGGATGAAGGGCATCAGCTTCGTCGAGGACGTGCCGAGTCACGCTGCCTATGCGTGCGAGATGGAGATGACGGACCAGGACTTGAAGCGTGTCAGGAAGCGGCCGCGGAAAGCCGCTGTGTGGCTCTCCCAAAAGATGAGCGAGAAGTCGCGCGAGGTCAGTTGGCGGTCGCTCACGGAGGAGGAGAAGCGCGAGTACGACGAGGCTCAGGCTGTCGAGGTGACCAACGTGGTTCGCGAAGCAGCCATCCGTGCCCTCTCAGCACAAGAGCTGCAAGACGTTGACATGAAGAATGTCATGGCTATGAGATGGGTACTTACCCGTAAGCAGAGCGGGAAAGCCAAGGCGAGACTTGTGGTGCTTGGATACCAGGCGCACAACTTGACAAGCGTCGAGACATCGGCGCCCACTCTCTCGAGAACTGGGAGAAACGTGCTTTTGGCTACTGCGGCGAACCACCACTTCACCCTTGAGAGCGGGGATGTGACGAGCGCGTTCCTGCAGACCATGAAGAGCCTGGAATCAGAGAACCTGCTGGTGTTCGCGCCGGTGGAGCTGGCTGTCATGTTCGGCGCTGACCCCAAGGATGCTGGGATGATCATGAAACTTACAAAAGCCTTCTACGGGCTGGTTCATGCACCCCGCCGTTGGCACGAGGCAGTTGTTGAAGCCCTGACCCGCAGTGGCTGGAAGCAGCTGAAAAGCGACAGGTGCATTTTTGCTCTGTACTCGCCCGATGGCTCCCTTGTCGGCATTGCCGGGGTTCACGTCGACGATTTCTTGATCGCCGGCCTCGAGTCGAGTGAGATCTACAAGCGTGCCAAGCAGGATCTCCAGAACACTTTCCGGTTCGGGAAATGGGACTCTGCGAAAGGGCCGGGCTTCGACTTTGCTGGTTGCCATGTGTGGCAAGACGAGAGAGGGATCCACATGAATCAAGAAGAATACGTCCGAGACTGGATCCAAGAAATCCCTTTGAGTTCCACGCGGGCTCAGCAGTTGAACTCTCCAGCTACTCCTCACGAGATCTCCGAACTCCGAGGGGCTCTTGGCACTCTCTCCTGGAAAGCTTCTCAGACTGGACCGCAGTTTCAGGCGGCCATCTCCTTGAAGTTGTCTGAGATTCCCTTTGCCTCTGTGAGAACCATTGTCGAAGTGAACAAACTCGTTCGGGAAGTTCGTAAGACTGCCAAACAGAGGATCACGTTTCCTGCATGGAACTACCCCTGGCAGGACATCGCGACCGTCGTTTGGGCGGACGCTTCACAAGGCAATCGGCCCAACAAATCGTCTACTGTGGGTCTCATGGCTTGTCTTGGGCCAAGTGAGATCAAAGACGGTTCTGAGGTGCCACTCGCGATGATCTCGTGGAGAAGCTCGAAGGCGCCAAGGGAGAGTTTAGGCTCTAACGGGTCTGAAGTGCAAGCTCTGACGGTGGGTGAAGACACTGTATTCCTCATTCGTGCTATGTGGCTTGAAGTTCACGGCATAGAACTCCATAGGGACACGCTTCACGAGACCGTCCGTGACAATAGCATCGGGATCCTGGTGACGGACAGCAAGGGGATTTATGATGCTTTTACACGAAATGTCTCGTCGTTGCATGGTTTGAGATCGAGTCGTGCAGGCTTCGAGTTGACTGTGGCGGTTCAACAAGCGATGCAGTTGCAAACTCACCTGAGGTGGGTCAATGGAGAAGCTCAGCTTGCAGATGGGCTGACGAAGGACACCGCTACTGCTCGGAAAGGCCTACTGAGTTTTCTTGCAAACGGGCAGCGCTGGTCTGTAGTGTATGATCCGAAGTTTACGGCTGCCAAGAAAGTCCGCAAGACGGATCTTCAGAAAGCGCTCAAGGAGCGCGAAGAAGCATTTATTGCTTCAGTCCGTGCTTTCAGCAAGCAGGAACGATACCCATGGTACCTTGATGACATCGTTGAAGTGTACGAGGATTTGCACCCTGAAAACCTCAGGAAAATGTTAGCGATGTGAGTTCCTGAGCTTGTGGCGCATGAGGTTTCACAGGTGCAGTGACTGTGCGTTCGACCGAAGGGTGGGATCTCTGCTCGAGCTGGCCAAAAAGGCTTCTTGCATTTGTGTAGGCTGTAGTGCCTGCAGCTGCTGAGGGCATTCCGCCCGTTACAGACCGCGTCCATCGTAGGGGGACTTGTCTGTCTGCAGGGCTGATTGCTTGTCCGCTAGCTGCTTGCTTTCGGTATTTGTGGGCACTTTGGGTGTGCAGGTTTGCATGCTTGTGTGTTGTGCCAGTTGCAGCTTATCCTGCGCTTGTGTGCACGTGTCCCGCCCGGCCCGCCCAACGACACGCTCTGGGAGGAGTGTTGCATTGGAGTGTTAGCATTCGCCCGTGCTTTGATGTGCGGGTTGCGATTCTGGCATGCGTGTATGCCATTCTTGAATCTGCTGCAGCATATGTTATGCTGCATCAAGCTACCATGTATTCCCACTCGCGAAGAAAATGAGTGCCTTGCATTGCTGCGCATTGGATGTTTTGCGGTAGCTTAATCCTGTCCGACTGACATGTCCCCGCAATACAAAATGCGAGCAACGACAACACGGCAAACGGCAGCGTAAATGTCGACGACAACGGCAACTGCAACAGCAACAGCAGATCAAAAGCAATGAGAACATAGTAACTACACGAATAGCCACAGCAACAGCAGTAGCAGCAGCACGAGTAGTAGTCGTTGTTGTTGTGGGCTACAGTGGCAGGTGGATTAGATCAACAGGAGGGATGTCAGGAGCTTGTGTAATCGGTCGCTTCGCTGTCAGAATCTGCGACATGCAGCCTCAAGGTTTTTAGATTTGCGGCCCCCGCGTGGATTGCCATTGCCACAACCATGCGTTTGCTCGCGAAGGTTTTCTGCATCTTGAAGAATGCCCAAAACTTAGCCTGCGGACTTTGGGTACTGGTCGTGCCCCGGCCTGCACACCCTGGGGTGACTTTGGAAAATCACATAGATTGCTTCGGATTCTCCTTCGACTTTGGTAGGCGTATGTGCAGATCTTTCTTTTTGAAGACGCATCTCCGGTGTGGGTCTTCTGCTTGGAGGTCCAGCTCTGTGTTGACGTGGGATCATCATCATCATCGTCATCATCATCATCGCCCTCCTCTCGTTTGTGTCTGCTCCGGACAAGGCTTCTCTCAAAGTAAACAAATACGACGGCAAAATCCAGATGCAGGAAAACTCTGTAGCGTCAGGATGCTGCCGGTGTTGGTTATGACTGATGACCATCGTGATGGTACTGGTGATGATTGGCGTGTTGAAGAGCAGCAAGGCTTTGGCGTTTACCTTCTTCGTCGTCGGGGTGCTGCCGCCCGAGGAGATGGCAGGGTTGAGGAGGAGGTTGATGATTCCGGGTTTGAGTGTTTGTGACGTGTGCGATGCAGTGATGTCGGGTTTCATGTTCAGAGTTTGGTGTGTGTGTGTGTGTGTGTGTAGGTTTTCGGAAGTCAGGTCTTCATGTGGCTTCGGATTGCAATTGTTTCAATCTTTGGCTGTTCAGTCTGAGTGCAGTGTTTCGGCACTTTCTGAGGCTTTGCTTTCCGTTGCAAGGTCGGACCAGGTGCCGGCTTCAGGATTCGCAGACTCGAAGACATGCCTCGGGTCAGTCCACAGCTCAATGTGACTTCTGTCGTCGTGAGGAGATGTGGCCCAAGTGTTACACAAAGTCGAATTTTCCGAAGAAGTCACACAAGAGCTGCAATCTCACAAGCGTTGTGCCCCAAGCCGATTAGAACCTCCGCTGATCCCAATAAAAACCTTCCGGGCGTCAAAGGACAACCGCCTCTCCTGGCAGAGTTTTCTGTTGGGCGCTGCGGCCGCAGGCTCCCGGGCGCAGCTCAGTTTGGGGCCCATTATGCTATCATTAAAATAAGGAGCCACGAGAAATAGTGTAGGTACATAAAAGGACCTCGGTAGGCGTGTGAGAAGCTTCGGGCGGAGCAGGGAGTTTTGAGTTGAAGTCGCACGAGAGCTGTACTATATATTGCACGACACTATAGTTTATTCTGTTCTATCGTATTACGCAAAATCGAAACCCTAAGCCAAAGAAGCTGCCGAGGATTCCGCATGAGCTCTTGCAAGGGTATGTACTCCATAGTATAAAAGGACACCATAGTATACACCAGAAAACTTATATATTACATCGTACAATATGTTCAAGATGTCGTATTTCTTGAAGCACAGTGAGACATACAGGCACACATACGCCCAATAACACAAACACAATTTGGTAGCATGTCATGTAATACAACTTAGTTTAATCTAGTATGCTATACGGGAAATACGGTAATATGACCCACTATCGGATAACCCAACATAAGACAACATACAGTTTATGCTATATACAAAAGAATGAGCACTCAAAACGAACATAGATATGCACGGTATGCATAGTGGTACAAAGCAGTATAACATAGAAGAGCATAGTAGAATACAGTGTATTTTAATAGGATACACTTCAACACAAGGCAACATCATGTAGTGTGACATCACATAAACATAGCACATATTCCGAAGCACAGTGCAAAGTGCGCTACCGTGTATAAGACTTGCTTTTCATATACGACAATAAGGAGCATAGAACATAAAAACGGCGAGAACCTATGACCTGTAGTGAAATACGATACGGCGTGATATGCCAAACTGAAATATTGTACAATGTAGCATAATATACTTTACCACAAGATTTACTAATCTATCGTAAGCTATACTACTGCATTTATACAAACTACACTTTTGAAACGCAATATGTCTTGCCATCTGTAACGGAATGTAATCATACAGTCGAATATGAAACATGTTACTTTATAGTATACCAGGCTTCATTCTAATTCAACAGAATGTAATACAACACAACTTCAACATATCACAACAATACAAAACGACGATCACAACACAATACAAAACGACTTGCCATGACACACTTTACAATGGTATAAGATAAGAGAATGCAGCATACTGTAGTATGGCCTACCATAACAGAACAAGCCACCATATCATATGCCATATTCTACTATACAATAGCCTAATCCGAGAGAGCCTGCCTTGACAGCATCTGAGGTTCCATTTACGTCATTGGGACGCTCGCCGCTGAAGTGACGAAGTGCAGACATCGTTTCTTCCGGTTCATTTTCTTGCAGACTGCTTCCTTACGTACACTACACCCTAAATTGCTTCCGCTTCACCACCACCGCATTCTCAACGATGCAATCAGGAGTAACGGTATGGTTGCATTTTCTTCTATTGCAGTGAGGTCCATGATGATGATGATGATTATGATTGTCATGACACTGATGGTGATGATCATGTTGTGATCATGCCTCCGATACGGGACATTAACGGTGATGGCGATGCCCTTGTCGATCATGATGATCAGGCTGCTATTCGTGTGGTTACCGCAGTCATCATGACGCCTTTGAGTTCCGTGCCGGGGTATGCTCAGCACACGATGAGGATTGTAAGGGTTACAGCATCATCGGACATATTTGCCGATGGGCCCGAACTTCCGTCGTAGAATGGATGAGCCATGATGAGCCAGTGGCGAAGCGCCCTTCCAGATATGGGTTCTTGATGTCTTTCGCCCTAAAGCCTTACACGCTACTCAAAGCATGAGGCATATCGGACAAGGAGACCTCATAAGTGGGTCACCTTGGGTCAAATGCGGGAACGCCACGCGTAGGGGTCGTATGTCTCCGTCTAAAACCTTCTTACGAAGCGCCCTGATCCGTTCAGCAGGCCCTTGTAAGCTGGGTTCTTGTTAAGAGGTGTAGTTTAAGTTGCGATAACAAGGGAACCATCTTCTTTACTATAGATCCCTACTATTCTAGCTTTAACTACGTTCCTTAACAAGAGCCCAGTAAGCCTTTCTCAGGAGGGACCCCTGCTTCTTGCAGAGCCTTCGAGACTCCGTGGCCATGCTCACCCACCAGAACAAGCGCCTATCGACGAGCAACGTCAAGTTGGAGAAGCAACTCCAGGAGCTGCACCTTTTGAGGTTTGGGGTATAGGGTTTAGGGAACATGGGCGTTCGTTGAGGTAAGCTTTGATGGCATTTAGAATAGGAGCGGTTCTGTAAACAAGATGGCCAAGTGGACCGTAAGAGCAACAGTGCCCTTGAGACCGATGTTCAGCACTTGTAGCTTTCGTTGCTCATCATGTTGAGTATTGAGACAGGCATAAAAGTGGTTGTCAAAATTATGGTCCCTTTTGGGTCCCTAATATAGTACGGCACCTAATATTTAGGATGCCCAAAAAGGGACCATAATTTTGACAACCACCCATAATAAACGGAGGCGATAGCAATGCCACAGGAAGCAGAGTAGAAGAGCCATGTCAGGTGCAATTTGCAACCGCGGCCATTGCAGCAAGAACAACCTTTCTCCACCCTTTGAGTCGGCCAGGATCCTGCAACAGTTGTTTGTTGAAGTCGTCGTTAAGTGAAGCCCATCATCCCGAACGTGCGTAGCCTAGGTCCTGGACCCTAACGCCCAGCGCTGAAGCTGACTGCGGCCGCGGCTGGCTCCGGCTTCACATCTTACAGCAGGGAGCAGCAACCGGCCAGACATCCTACCAATACAGCTTTTAACACCTCTTCTTGCAGGACCCTTTCGGGTAGGACCTAATACGTAAGGAGAGAGGGGGGAGATGAGGAATTGCACCGGAAGGGACCCTCACCTCTAAACTGCAATCTTGTCCGAGTGTGTGAGCAAAACTCGTAGAAATAATTTGTTCCCTAGCCTTAGTCCCTGCCCATATGATCCAGAAAGGAGCTGGCGGGAGTTGACCAGAAGTTCGCGGCAGTGCCTCTTATGACTAACGGTGTAGGGTGTCGTGAAGTGTGCTACCGGGAAGCCGGCCTCAGAACAGGCCCTGTGCGACTTGAAATCTTCTGGAAGTGTCTTCTCCACAATCCACACAGCCGGATCGCACACAGACGAGGAAAGAGGTGGGAGCTGTCATGACATAGCGCAGCGGAAAGTTTGGGGTCCGGACACATGATGGGATGATGTCAGGCGGTAGAGCTTGCGACGAAGCCAAAGTGGCATGCCTGGGCATCCACACAAAACGTACATCGCAAAAGCTATGTGCACAAACACAAGTGTTTTTGACGCTGGAAGCCACGAAGGTGCACAAGCAGCTAGACACTGATGCAGACTCCGCACTGGAGCTACTGCGGAACTTGGAGCATCACAGCCGGGTGCAGGCGCTGAGCAAATGAAGTGTCAAAGAGTCTTGGGGCTTACTGTAAGGCCACTCCGGCATTCACGAAGTTAAGGCTGGATGTCTGCCGTTCAATTGTTGAAGCTTCGGTGTTTGAGGTTTAACCTCTCGGTTGACGACTCGTGAACTTTTGGGCCAGAGCCCCCCTGAGCCTCGAATCCTAGCTGCAACCTCGCGTGTTTCCCACTTAATGTCGGGGCCTTAGCACTTAGAACAGGGTTTCGGGGCTCCTTATTAAGATTATGGTATAATATACCACCAACCCCAATTTTAACTACTAAGGCCCCTATAGTATATAGCATGGCACCATTGACTTCCGCAGGCCGTGGTCTCCTCTCTCAGCTTGTTCTTGCATGCGGACATGGACAAAAGCGGCAGCTTGCAGGAGGAGGAGCTGTCCCGGTTAATTTCAACCCTGTACAAGCTGGATTCGGGATTCTGGAAGCATCTGGAATTATACTCATTGCATTGGTGATCCGATTTCCGACAACACGGAACCAGTGATGAACATTCCACATTTTCTGAGGACGATACTGAGAGCGCCTTGAAGCGGCAATGTTGCTGCAAGATGCTGAAACAGCAGGGCCACATTGAGGAACCTGGACGCTGGTCTTCCCCGGTTCAGTCTCGAAAGCTTTCGAGTGCAGTCCCACTCCCCGTCACCTTGCAGGCACGGAACCCTAAACCCACAACCCGAAGCATGGAAAGAAGCTCACAGTGTCTGAATTCCAGGAGGCGGAACAATTCCTTCTGGGCTTCACGCAGCTGTGGGATTTGATCCCGGACTACCCCGAGGCTCCAATCTTGCTTTACGGTTGAGAGTTTAGGCTTTGGAGTTCAGGGTTCAGGGTTTGGGGTTTGGCTAGAACTGAGTCCAGTGGCAAAAAGGCCTTAGGGGACCCTTGCTTGGGGTTTAGGGTGTTTAGGGTTCAGGGGACCCTTGCTTGCGCGCTTGCGCCCGCGACCAGGATGCAGTTCAGGCCCTCGAGGGCGAGCTTACCTTTGAGATGTTCTCGGACCTGCTCCGTGCCGCAGCTGCAGCGCGGGTGCCTGTCTTGAAGGCAAGAGTGACAAGGACAAGGTCCAGAAGCAGAAAGACACTAGATGCAGGACACCGGTGATCAGAGAGATGTGGGAGCTGGATAATTTTCCATGCCGAAGTCCATATCTCATGTCGCAGGTTCCCCCTGTCAAACCCTGATGTGTCGAGCCCGAAAGCTGGAACTATTGCATACAAAATGACCTGTACTAGGCTGAAGCCTCAAGCTCCCGTATTCCCTGGGGGTTCCTGTGATAATTGTGGTATGATGTACACCAAACCCCTGTTGAAATCATCAAGGCTCCGGTATTACACGTGTCTGTGCCCCAGGGCCACAGCCTCGGACTCCAAAAAGTAGTAACATTCGCAAAACCGGTAGTTCTTTAAGTCCACAGCTCTTTTCGCCCGAGCCTTCCAACCCTGACACTAGCTCCTAAGTGCCCTTACAGAAGCCTTGTAACCAGTAGGTACGCCAAAATCCCAAAGCCCCAGGCGCGGTGGTTCAGGAGGACGCACCGAAGTGCCGTAGCATCCTGGACAACATCCTGCACCAGTGCTGCAGCAGCAGTTCGTTGATCCGAAAGCCCAGCTTAAGGGCGCTAGGTTTTAGGTTCAGAGTTTGCAGGATTGATTTTAGTATTTTCGGATGTAGGCAAGGCCTGGTACACTTCTGCGCCATGGATGTGATAGCGGGCTGTACCCAGAGCCTCCAAAACCCCGTAAGTAAAGGAACAGACTTTAAAATCTTATTAGGGATCCCGTGTCGATTTAGTTCCGTTATTAAGGGGTTTTGGAGTCTCTGGGTAGGCCTTATGGTAGGCTCCTTGGTACTTCAGGACTGCAGGGACAAAACTTCAGTCTAATTTTTTAAGGCCCTTACAATATGGATGGAATGGGTTCCAAGATTGGGGCTTTGAGACTCAAGGTCTGCAGGTTAAAGTGCTTGGATTCAGGCTTGTCCTGTTAGGGTGCAGGCATCGCATTCTCCCCCAAATGGGAGAAACCCTCCAGTCGAAGCTTTCAAGCCTCGACCCTGCATCGTCAAGCCTCCGAAGACATGCTGCCGAAAACTGGGATGGGGGGTGGGTCGTGGATATTCACCTGGTTGTTTGTTTGCTTATATGGAGTAGTCAGGGCTCCCTGCGAGCATTGGTGAGTGTATTCCTTCGGTGCTTTTGAGCATCCTATCCTGGCAAGCGTTTCGTCTTTTAGCCCTCGCCCCGTAGCATAGGACAGGTTCTGTTCTCGATTTCCCAAAGCCGAGAAGAAACGGTTACCTTGAGCTCCCTGTGGTGAACCCCGACCGAGGTCTTCAGGATGCAAAGCCATGAGTGGGTGTCAGGTGAGGGTTCTTTTGGCATTCACCTCCTCTCGAAAACCATCGGCTTCGTTTATAAGGGAAGCTCAAACCGTGCATCCCTGCACCCTGCAACGCCCCACGCCCAGTGAAACAGGGACGATGACGACGAAATTATCATGGCAGCGCCCTCGCCGGTCTATGGTGCGCGGCAGGACCTGTATCTGCAAGCGAGTAGGGGCAACGTAGGGGCCTTTACAAACAACCCCAAGGAATACAGGAATCATACTAATTAGTCATCTATAGTAGGCAGCTGAGGGTTGCTGACCAGGTGGTGCCGGAATGCAGCAAGGGGTCTGTCCTTGGGATCAGTACTCGGTGCATTATCGAGTCGAGGGATTGAGTTCATCGGTTGCTCTCTAGGGCTTCGCAAAAAATGGGTTCCCCGACAGTTTTATCCATTGCTTCTCAGAGGCTACGCCGAAAGAGGATCTTGAAAGTGGGAGCGACAACAGTGCCCAGGCAGATCTAGGGTGAGGGTTAGGACAGAGCATTGCGTCCCTGGTCCAAAAGGGCGGGACTAGGGGCTTATGGAGCGAAGCAAAGCCTCAGCAACATCGTAAGCCCAATATGCCGAACCAGTCATAGTGATCATCATGAAGTCGTAACCTTAGGCGCCACCTTCATAGTTGCGAGAAAGCATGAAATAGCAAGCCTCGCGAGATGCTACAGAAGATAACTGTAGGAAGAACCGCCGAGCACGAATCGGTATGACTTTTCACGACGGGGGCACTCGTGCGACAACAGTATCCTTATCATCAACCACCACGACAACCATCAGCACCATCACCTTCATCATCAGCATCATCACCTTCGCCACCATCATCATCGCCATGTCCGTCATCATCTCAGCATCACTCTCGCCATTATTCTCCTTTGTGGCAGCAGTTCTGCGCATGCTCTGGCAGATGGATGGATGGATGGATGGATGGATGGCTGCATCGGTGGCTGGGTGGGTGGGTGGGTGGATGGATGGATGGATGGATGGATGGGCGGACGGACGGGCAGACGGACGGACGGATGGACGGAGGGACGGATGGATTCCATGCATCTATCGTAGGCTGCATAGGTATATGCATGTGCACCCTTTGCAAGACCACGAGGTAATGTGCGTCGCAAGCGCAGTAGTTTTTGCAGACCACTTTCAGCCTTCGTGGGGCCTTCGAGAGACGGATCTGTCGCTTCTCCCGGAGACCCGCAAGCAAAGGTCGTCCGGACGAAGATGATAAGATGAAACCCTGGCTGACGGTTGGTCCTCTGCAAATTTGGGGCCTCTTGCACCTCGGGGACCCTGGACTGCGACAGAGGGCGTTTAGGTTGCAGGGGGAGTTCTTGGATTGGTGCTTGGAGGTTTCGGGTTGAGGTCGTGAAGGTAAGGCTTTGGAAGAGCCCGTAGATGAGAGAAGTCTTATGGTGATGTTAAAAGCCTGCAGCTTCGCTGTGGTGCTTCTGCTGATGCGGTCTGTGCGACAGGCGAGATATACAGGAGCATTGAGCTAGAGCCATGAAGCATTGCCGACGGCACAAGGTTCAAGTTATGTGAAAGCCCGTCGTGGCAGAGGCAGGCCCGCTTGTGCCGTCGCAATGGCACCGGGCACCGGCCTCGCAATGCGCCCCGTGCTGGCCTTTTGCTGGGTTTTCGCTCAGCCTCTCCTGGCAAAGCCCTGGGTTGCGCCACAAGTGCCAGAGCCGTCGGGCTACCAACAGCAAGTCCCAACACCTGAGAAAACTCTTGCCGTAGAGAGGTGGGGCCCTTCGGAGGAGCAGCGATGGCGGCAGCAGCAAACCGCCCTGCAGTCGGGCCGACGATCGCTGGCCGAGCTTCAGCAGGTTCTTGGCGCACCCGTGCCGCAGGACCCCGCCGCGGTCCGCGCGCTCTCGATCGTCCACAGCCTCGCTGCACAGCGACGGTTTCGACAGGCTAAGGCCGCACTGTTGGCCGCAAGGCCTCTGCTGGAGGAAGCCGTGCTGCACCAGGAGGTGAATCTTCTGCGCTTCGAGATGGGTGAGGTCTTACCCTTCTTGACCAACCGGCTGGCAGCTGAGGAGTGGCTCGCGGCACGCATTCCGATTCCCGTGGAGGAAGCTCGAGCTACAGCTTCAGTTCGACCTGACGGAACGACGCAAGAGCTGACGTCCACCGGCAGGTTGAAGCAGATGACTTCCGGCCAGCTTGGTGTGGCCCTGGATTTTGCAGAGAGGCTTCCGGAGTCCCGGATGGCGAGAAGGCCTACGGCTGACGAGCCAGTCTTTGCCCATTTCTCCGGCATACGTCTCGAAGGCGAGAGCTCTCTGAGCCCACGCCGGCGAAGTCCGGTGCTGGCGGAGGTGGATTCCGAGGAGCCGCCGTTTGCACGCAGCAACGTAGCGAATCCAGCACGGGGCAGAGAGAAGAGGCACCTCGTCCTCGTGCAGGTGCTGGCGCTCACGCTCGGCTGCTTCGTGCTTGTGATCGCCTGTGGGCAGCTCCGTCATGTTGGCTCTTTGGCAGGGCCAAAGAGCTGGAAGACGAACACTGCACACCAGGCAATCGAACCCAACGATAGCACTCCAAGCCAGGACTGGATCGAAGAAGAGATGCTGAAGCCACCTTCCGAAAGCAACGAGGCCGACGTGATGAAGGACTGGTACGAGGAGGAGCCCGAGCCGGTGCGACCCGAAGAGGGCAAAGTCATCGAGCATGCGATCTACACGCCCGACAGCAGCCCTGTCAGACTTGCACCCGTGGGCCTATTGGTAACTCCGATGCAGCTACCACAGCTCTTTCAATCCGGCATGGTACCAAATGGACGGATCCAGGGTCCGATGTTGATTCCTGTCGGTACAGTCCCACCAGTTCTTCCTGCACCCTACTGCATAGGGACCCTACTTCCTGCCCAAGATGGTGCCCAAGACAGTACATGCATGCCGACGGCAGAGGAGCAGGCTCCAGCAGAGGTTGCAGAGCAAGTCCCAGAGGAGGCTGAGGAGACAAAGCTGGAGGCGGAAGACGAGGAGCAAGCTCCGGCGCTTGTAGAGCAAGTTCCTGAGGCTCCGAGTTCCTGGGGCTTTGCCAGAGGCCGCTGGGCGGATGCAGAATCCTCGGGCAACTCCGAGGCCGAAGGCAGAGTGGCAAGCAAGGCCTCCGCAAGGCAGGTGTCCGCCAGCGACGCCGTGGCATCGGCCCTGCAGGAGCCCTCTCAGAAGTGCGCCAAGGATGCAGAGCGTCGCAAGAAGAAGAAAGCCGGACGCCGCAAGAAAGAGGCTCCCACTGTGCCAGCAAGGGAGGCCCAGGCTCAGGCCCAGCCTCCAGCACCAGAACTCCAGGAGGAGGAGCCCAAGCGCGTGATCCGCCTGGAAGAGTTGCTAGGGCTGCACCTCAAGCCGACCGATGGCAGGAGAAACCCCGGACCTTCAGCACCCGGCTCTGCAGCCCCAGCAGTGCTGTCGAGACAGACATCCCAGGACACAGACACAGCCAGGCCAGCTGCACACGAACATGATGCTGCAGCTGGGAAGCCCATTCCGATGATCTCGAGTCAGAAATCCCGAAGAGGCCGCCCAAAAAAGCCTCAGGCAGCCTTGGCGAGCGCGCCGCTTCCACGAAGTGGTCGCCAGTGGCGCGCAGGACAACGCCATGTCGCAGCCGAGGAGGGCTAGCAATACCGTCCCTTACTTGTCGTCCCTGTACAACTAGACCATAATGTAACCCAAGACCCTATTCTAGCATATTCTAGCTAGGGCCCCCAGAATGCATTGTGACCACATCAGCACTGTGTCCAAGTTTCAGTCGGAAAAGAAGCTTCCTTGCAGTGAGCCTGGCCTCTTTGCTTTCGGCCAGCAGATCCCTATGGTCTCACGTTCTCCACACAAACCATGGTAGCAAAAGCTACAAGCAAAGAACGTACAGAGGAGAGAAGCGTGAGCCATATACCGTAGCTTCACGACACCATTCCAAATAGCGGGCGATCCTTACGAAGAGAGCAAATATCCTCCAACGAACTTGTTCAACGCAAACGAACCCTGGGCTTCCTGCTAAGCCTTAAGCAATTTAGGGATTGCAGGGTGCAGGATTTGGGGTTTGTTTTCAGAAACGATAAACTGTGAGTAGTGGCGTAGAGTAGGCTGTAGCAGTGTCGGTTTGTCTGGCATGTTGGCGGTGCGGGCTGCAAAGTAGGGCCGAGGTTGGCGGGTAGGTGGCGGGACGGCCAACCTTGATGCTGGTTGCCTAGTCAGTTGCGCCCGAATCGTAGCAACGCTCAGCGACTTGCTGCAATTGTTGTAGCTCGGCTCTTAGCTCAGGATGGCTACATGCAGGTCGGCATCGTCTTAGTGAAATTAGATGTTTGAACTGATCCGTTTGTGTCAATACTTGACCAACCTTGGTACAGTACCTCCAGTCTCAGAGCCAAGCCGGATTCCCACTTCGGTTGGCCGAGTTGTTGCAAGCAGAACGAGACAAATTCAAGCGGGATTTGCGAACCCTTGGTCCGTCCAGGGTTTTCGCTCTGAGAACTCTAGATTCGCCCGGCCTCGTACCCATGCAGCTCCATTTGTGAATAAGGTTGCTCACCAACATAGGCGTAATCATCCTTTAGGATGCCCTTCATTTGATGTCGCCCAGGATTGTGAGAACACCCAGCCAAAACTCGAAGTTTAAACCTCCAGACCCAAAAGCCCCTCAACAACCGTAAACCCGAAACCATCCTAAACCCTAAAGCCTAAACCCTAAAATCCTAAACCTGCCTAAGAGCCATGACAAACTACAAGGCCATCCTGCTGGTTCTGCTGGCCGGCTTTTGCTTTTTCTGGTGCCGTGGGGTGAAATTCAGAAGTTTTTTGGGGTTTGGAAGCGGGGTTGTGCATTTATACAATTAGTAGTTTAGGGATTTGGGTTGTGGGTGGTTGCGACTCATACGTTTGCAGGGGGCAGCTTGTTTCCCCGGAACTGGTCCATCTACTTTATTATCTCCATGCGGGGGCCTAAACCGAACCCGTAGAAGCAACAGCGAAAATTCGCCAGAGACACATGAGTCAGACAACATTCACTCCACAAGTCAGTCGGCCCCATACATAGCTTAGGCTACAGAGAGCGTTGAGGGGTCAGGGTGCAGGGTTTAGGATATCTGCCCCAGCGGAGGTAGAGTGGAGTGATGGCTGAGTGTCATCCCCAGTGAAGTTCCGAAGCCTTCACGAAGCTTGAGCCCTCAACCCTATTCCCAAAACCCGCGAGAACCTGAAACCCAAAATTGTAAACGGCTTAAACCCAAAGCCCAAAATCTGGAAGAACCTGAAACCCCAACCCTAAAGCCAGACCTTCGACCAGGGACGTGATCTTCCTGGACTTTTCAGCTTCCACAATCGCCTTTCTGATGCTCATCCTTGGTGGTGGGCTGGTGACGCGGCCACAATTCAGAGAGTGGATAGGGGGCAGACATGCAGACTGAGACGTAGAGAGTCCCAAGCGTAGCACGCGTGGTCCTACTCCTAGTATGCTTCAATGCATGCCTTGAAATAAGCCAAAAGCAAGACGAGGCAGAATCAATGAAGAAGAGGTACTTTCCATTCAAGCCTTCGTCTTTGGGACCTTTGAACATCCTATATCCTTCAAGCTCCACCCGATGCAACAGAACAGCCGCTATCACTGGCAATCCACTCTTTCCTGCCATCCTATAACTATACCCCAGATCCTAAAGAGACTACTTATGTGTGTGTATATACATCTACATACATATATATATATACACATGTATGTATGTATGTATACATATGAGTATAACAGGCGCATTCCGCAGATACGTCTTCGACCAGGCCTTGCAGGGTGAGCTGCTCGTCATTGCGAAGCGGCTGCGAAAGGAAGTGGGTGTCTACAAGGAGGACATGGCTTCAGGTATCAGAACATCGGCTTTGAGGTTGCAAATCGGCAGCTTGGCAGTCCGACTTTGCGTGTTACGGGATGGTACCACTTGCCTGAGCACGTGTTCTGCTTTGAAGTGGAGGAGAACACGAAGCTCGCACAGTCGGTGGAGGAGTTGACAGGCGCGTCTGCGAAGAATTTGCACCAGGAAGGAGCCCAGAGCTTCCCCTCTGCCTGCACCCGCAGTAGTAGGTCGTTTAGAATGGATGTGCTGGATGCAGTATCGAAGGAAGACAGGAGATGCCAGTGATGCTAACCGGGTGAAAGTTGACATTTTCATGTGAAACAGCCCTCAACCCTCAATATAGCCCGGTTGCACTCAGCCGACCTTCAGGCAAATGCCTCGCCCGGATTGTCCGAGTTTTGAGCGCGGACAGCCTAAGCCCTGTTTGTTAAAAACATGTTCGGACCCTTTTATGCAACCTCAGGTTGGTGGATCGGGATCGATTAGATCTCCGACACGCGAAAAATTTCGGAAAACACACCTAACCCCTGCGACATAAAGCTTAAACCCTGAGCCGTAAGCCTGAGACCCTAAACCCGAGACTTGTCGCTAGGCCGGGTCAAGCGCCTTCGCTCCATCCAGAAAGGTGGGCTAGCCACACACAGCCAGATAGTTTGGGTGTTCTCCACATCGAGGGTCCTTTTTCGGATCTTTACAAAGGACCCCCCTTCCTTTGAGGGTCTGACATGGGTCCGCGGTTGTGTGAAAGTCCCCGTTGCTGTCAAGTTGTAGTGCAGTCCGTGAAGGCAAGCTAGTGTAGCATCGGTTACGACGAGTACGTCCACGATGACCACTATCACATTTTTTTGGCGTGTAAATCGATGATCAACACATTACTGAGATATGTCAAGGCAGCAACCACAACTTGCGGTGCAGAAACTATTGACAACCCGCATTCGTTTCAGAAGGCTTAGAGACCATACAGCACCTGCGCAAACGTCGAAGGTCTACTGCACTTGGCGCAGATATATCATTGTGCATGTTTCTGTGGAAGTATCGAGCATTCACCATTTTCACCGGTGATTCTGCTGGGGGTATCATCTTCGTCAAGATCAGGACCGCAACATGAAAATCAACCGAGGAGAGGCATACTTGCGCCAACTGCCACTTCTCTGGTCGCAATATAGGCATATGCATACATAAGAAGCCACCTTTTTGTGCTGCACCCGAACTGGCATCAGGTCACCAGCATCACTACCGGCAGTGTCACCATCACTACTTGGAGGATCATGGGACTTAGTAACTAGGGTTATAAATAATGTCATTATACATATAACTCCAACTAGGGTACTTATGACCTTACTTACTAAGTCCCATGATCCTCCAAGTACTCAACATGAGGGCTTCAAGCTCCACCCCGTCGACTCATGATCTCGACCTGATGCTATTTTCTGGAGCAAACCTTTGTCTTCCGGCCCGCCAACATTCCACCTCCGCAGTTCATTCGAGAATTGAGGTTGTTGCCCTTGTGGCTGTCTTGGCGAATTGTCTGGCAGAGTTGTCATGTTTAGGGTTCCTACGAGGTTCAGGGATTGAGGCAGTTCTGGCTGTGCAGAGGCTTGGAAAACTTGCACGACAAGTTTGGCGATAACGCCAGGCGTATCTTGGCTTGTCCTGGTGCTCGAATGCCTCACGCCCGAAATGTCCGTAGGTGAGGATCCCTTGTTTCAGGCACCCCTCGTCCTATCTACATAACTTTGTCGTGGTGATTTCATGAAGGGCCCTTTGATGTTGTCGGCATCTCTTGAAGTTCCTTCGGGCCTTCGACAAGTACCGCCTCGATGCGTGGTGGTCTTCCCAAAGCGGTCCACGATGGGTTGTGGCATTCAGAGCCTCCCACAATGCCAGTCTCCCGCGCCAGCCAGTCCGCCGATAACGCCGATCCGATACTTTGGCTCTCTCCGTTTAGGGGAATCACGCTCGCGCCACGGCGCTGTACTATATAGCACTGTCCGTATATATATATATATACACACGCATATATATATATATATGTATGTATATATATATATAATATACTTTATGCAGTATATATGACATCAAATACAACTCCTCAGCACAGTCCGATGCTGCGACCACGTGTGTTCCCAGGGTGCTATGCCAATGTAGGGGCCTAAATGATTACCAACAATATTTTTGGGGTTCCTGACTATCATAATATTTACGATGATTTTTATACCCTTTTGGGGATCCTTATTGTAACTATAGTATATTGGGCCCCCAAACCGGGGCCTAATTATAAAGGCCCCTATGTCGGTTCTGGGGTGCCAATCCTGCTCCGGTCATAGTGTGCTGCACATGTTAGACTGGAATGGTTCCTAGGGTATGGCATATATGTACGCGTCTACATTGGCACATTGCAACACGGATCCCAAGCAATTTAGTTTCCCCCTCTAAAACCTCTTTTCTGGATTTGTGGACCGAGGTTGAACTGAAACGCCAGCCCTTCATGTCTGGGTCATCCCGAGGTGCGCAGCAATTGGCGCGCAAAGAGTCGTCGCACTCGAAAACACACCTGGCACGAAGCTTGGGAGAAGCAAAAACTTGTGCGTCATGACCATCCTCAGAAGAACTTAAGACAGTGTAACAGCAGCATGAAGGCGCGCAAGGATAGCAGTAGTGCTCAAGAGCGATTTCAGGTAGATTAGCTAAACTGGCGTGGTTTGGATTTTAGCCAATGTTGTTCATGATGCAGTGTCCAGGCTTTTCGGAGGTTATATCGAGCCGTTTGGATGTAAAGACCGAAAAGGATATTGCTAATGCAGGGCTTGTGGTCGAAATTCGAAAGTCTTTTTTTCAGTCAGCTTCAGCCAATGGCTTCGGATTATACCTTGCAGTTCAGAAGGTGCCTGGTTGGTAGTCGTGGGTTATAGTTGTTGTAGTTGTAGTTGCTAGCATGGTGGGGGTAGTAGCAGAGCTCGTGGTGGTGGTGGTGGTGCTGCTGCTGCATCAGGTACACCTTAGGTAGCGCAGCGCCAGTAGGCATGGCAGAGTGGTAATGCGAGGAAAATGTGAATAGACGCAGAGGGGGCATACTCACAGTGCGAGCCATAATTTTTATGACGGCAAGGAGGTTCTGCTCGGGGCTCTTTCTGAGGCGGATGTCAAAGCATCAAGCTTGAAAGCCCCCTTCCCTGAATCGTGGACCTCAAAAAACGATGGAAGTCAGCGCCAAGCCCTGAAGCCAGACACAGTTTCTTTAGCAACTCGCAACGTAATGCTCAGGGGTTCACACGGATCTTTATCAAAATATAAACCACTGGTGGACTGACTTGCTGGAAGCACGAAGGTCAGTGTGACCTTGGAGCTTTTTGCGCGTGCGGACGAGGCCTGTGTCTTGACCGGGGTCTATATATGTTGTCATTGTCGGTAAGTGCAGCTTATTTCATACCATGGCGAATTATTGCTTTCTGTTGAAGTAGAGCTTGCTAAGGCTTCAGCTGTTTCGCGTCCCCACCCAGTGGCAGAATTCCGGTGGTGGTTTAGGCTGTCGACACCCATCATAGTTGACAGAGAGGTCTGACTTCTCCGCACCCCTGACGTGTAGCAGCCAGTTAGGGTCCTTTAGGCTTCCTGTCAGGGCCTGTCCTGGCCGTTGTAGCAGCGACAATAGTGACACATGAGGACGGCAGCGGCAAGCTGGAAGGACAGGAGTTGGAAGAGTTTCGCACCACTTTCGCAGCTCGGATGGCAAGAACTAAACTTGTAGTTCGCTCTGTCACCCAAAGACCACAACACACACACACACATACAATACATGCGTGCATACATAGCCAAGGAGGAAGTGTGCGAGAACATTCCAGGCCAGGCACTGCCCTGTCCAGTCTAGCCAGTCTGCGACTTTCTGACTCTTCCAGCTAAGTCTGCTGATCGGAATCTGAAAATGCATCTGCTTGGGGTGCCGATTCGTGCATCCTTCTCTTGCCCCAGGGATCCCCCAAGCCTAGAAGTTAAAGGCCCGCAACTTTCGAAAAAGGCTAAGAGCTTTGAGCATCTTGGAGCCTGCAAACAGCGTGAGGAAATGCATGCATTGCACTTCTCTTGCAACAAGCTCAGAAGCCTCAACAGAAGATGTCTCAACCCTCGCTGGCCCTAACTACTTACGTAACAAGAATGAGTGCACCAACTTTGGCTGCAGAGCTTGCCAGTGTTATAAAGGCGTTGTTGCGGACAGGTGTTCCCTCCGAGGTAGATTCACTGCCAGCTTAGCGTAGTAAAGATCCCGGAAAAGAGCCAGTTGCGCCTGGGCCTAGCTACATGACAGCGGGGTTGTTTTATTCACAGCCCCCTGCTGACAGTTGGTCCACAATTTTTGAACTCCTCTCATGCTTGACTGGTATCTCCTGTGACAGCGATGGACTGATCAGTTTTTGCGATTTTGGCATTTGCATCACTGCTAGCTTGCTAGAGCTTGATCTTTTTCTTTCCGTGCCTGTGTTGGCGAAACTTTATGGGTTTGTATTTGGCGCCGCAGGTGCCGAGTAGTAAACCAACGTGGCTGCTAAGAATCTAAGAAGCGCGCAGTAGTTCGTGTGTAGATTGTACTAGCTTGCATGACAGTGCAGTGGCAGTGTAGAGCACGCAAGTTTTTTTGTGTGTGGTTGTGCATGATCATGTCCAAGTAAAGGAATGCGAGATGTCCTTATGTCAAGCCGGCTGGCCTATATAATATGCAGTGATAGGCGCAACCGTGTAGCGTGGGTCGTTCGGATGCTCGTGAGCATTCACCACCCATTGTATTTTAGCCGTCTTGTTGATATGAATTGCAGTTCCAGCAGCTTTTGTCTCGTCACAGACTCTTCATACGCTGTAGCGTTTAGAAGACCTCAGAGCTCAGATCTGTAACGGTGCTGTCGATGCGGTGCACATGCAGCTTGCGGTACGGCCCTTGTGCCTTTTTCACGCTCCAGCATGCATATCACGGTGCTTTTTCCTCCGCATCTTGCATAGTTGTACGAGCAGCTTTTGCACCGTGGTCGACCCTGGGCAGGTTGCAATATGCAGGGCATCCGGCAGATTCTTTCAGTGGACGGCCTCACTTTGAAACAGGCTGCTTGTTGCGCACAGATCAGACAGCCGAGCCCCCAAACGAGCCTCGACTCTAGAAGTGTTGCCCCCGAACCCTACAGTCTCCCAAACGGCCCGAGAGCTTGCACAAGCCAAGCCGCAGTTGCATTATGTTGCCAGCATCCCGAGTCCTAGATAACAAAGCTCTATTGCCCCACCCCAGGCCAAAAGACCTCATGCCCCCAAGCCAATTTACCCCGAAGCTTTCGCGCATCTGGACAAAACTAGGACTAGGAGCCTGCCGTGCGAGAGGCCTCAAATATCAAGCGAGTTTTTGGGCCTACAGTTCTGAGTAGTGAAACTACACGGGGTTCGACCCAGCCGGAATCTGTGAGCAGCTGAAGATCGAGAGAATCCTACAGTTCGAAACTTGAAAAACCCGACACCACAAACCCCAAGCTCGGAACTGAACCATGGACCGTAACCTACACGGAGAGAAGCCGGAAACTCCTAGAACAGGTTCACAGGCTGGTGGAAGATGTGCTGAACCGTTCTCCCGCGTAAGTCGAAGAAGCTTCCGAAGAGGAGCTTCTTTGAAGAAGCCGTCGGGCTGGGGAAATGGGTATTTCAGGGCTTGAAGGGGTTTAGGGTTAAGGGCTGGTCACGGCATGATCAGACTCATTAGACCCAGAGTTCTAAGCTACCACAAAGGCTTCACTCTGCAAAGTTTTGTGACAACAAGGTTTCGGGTTGTTCCATGCTCTTCGGGCAGCCCAGGCTGTCTAGACGCCGGTGTCATGTTTAAGTTCCGGGCATCAGTGCAGCACCAACCAGCCAGAGCCCTTGTCCCCTGTATTCTCTACAGACTTTCATTTTGAAGCCGTGTGCCTGTGATGGAATGCCATCGGGAGCTAGAAGCTTCGAAGGCACGATACTGAATTATACCGCAGTGCAGCATATTGTACCTGCAGCCCACTATGGCATACTACAACATGGTAGACTATAACATACTACAGCACACTAGTAGTATAGGCAATTATTAAAGCCCCTATATGAGGCTGCATTGTTTTCGGTTTCGGGTCAAGGTTGTGAGTCTCAACCGGCTTCGCCCAAGGCAGAAACATCACAGGCCGGCAGAATGCGAAAAATGTCAGCGTGGCCTCAGTCGAAATCGATGCGGGCAAGCTGACCGTAATTACCTTATCGGGCCGACAAGTACAGTCACAGTAGGTGCCGCAGCGAGAGGAAAAGAGGTGCTGAAGAGCCGAAGGGCGGTTCGCATTGTGCCCCCCGCCTTAGAACTGTCGCAGCTTTTCTGCTTGCGCTTCGGTTGTTCTGAAAGGCCCTGACACCGAATCTTGGGCTTGTTCGAATCACGACCTGTTCGGTCAAGAGCTCTCCTGGGTTGAGAAGGGCTATAAGTGGCATCGGTCAGCGGAAACATCACCTCACACCAGATGAGTTTGCTCGTAAGGCTAGGCTCGTCTGGACGCACATGCGTCCACAGATTTTCTCCTGGTCCTGGCCGTTTCCTCAGGTTTTTGTTAGACATCGCCCAGTATCCGCTGTCTTTGTTGTGTCGCAGATCATGGCTCGTGGCATGTTGGTCCTTGCCTTCGGCTGCATGTGCCTGTGGGCGCTGAGCGGCCGCGCTTTTGTGAGTGGCCCAGCCACACAGACTCGCCAGGTGTCCGTGTCGGCGGCGGCACAGGTAGCTTACGAAACGGACATGCCTGCTGAGAACGGCGTCTACCCAGTGGGCAATGCCAAGCGGACCGCGCCCTACGGCGAGCGCGACCCTCTGCCAGAGGGCTATGGCATCCGCACTGGCCTGTCGGACCTTCTGAAGCCACTGAACGCTGAAGCGGGAGTTGTGGCCAAGGAGGACAGCATCCCTACCGTGCTTGTGATGGTGACAGGCATCGTCATGCTGTTCTTGTTCTACCTCCTGCTCCTGCTGCTCGACAACCAGTCGGTCTTGCTGCCGCCCGAGGACGAGTTCGACGAATATGCAGCTAGTCAAGGTAGTATCCATGTTCGCTTCCTGAGGATGTAGGTCAATCATGGTTGTGTATGCGGTACCGTCGTGTCTCTGTGTCGTCGAGCTGTGCCAAGGTGCAGAATTTCCTGCCATATTTCTTCTTCGGTGAGAAGTGAGCCGAGCTTTCTGATTTTCCCACCCGAAAGCATCTGCGATGTCACGGCAAAGCCATGTTCGTCACCTCGTTGCCAGCGGACCCAACCGACCATGAAAGCTGATTGACAGCTAAGCTAAGTGCTGAGCAGTTCGGCTATGCGTGTTTTCATGCAGGCATGTGCACATACGAGGTCGTGAGGCTTTCTTAGCCGTACAGCTAGGCCCAGTACTTGCCAAGTACGATGATAGCTCCATAAGTCAAGTAGCATGCGGGGGTGTTCATGCTTTCGTACGCACGGTTTGCGGCTCCAGGCATTTTTGAGAGACATCGCCCAGTATCCGCTGTCTTTGTTGTGTCGCAGATCATGGCTCGTGGCATGTTGGTCCTTGCCTTCGGCTGCATGTGCCTGTGGGCGCTGAGCGGCCGCACTTTTGTGAGTGGCCCAGCCATGCAGACTCGTCAGGTGTCCGTGTCGGCGGCGGCACAGGTAGCTTACGAAACGGACATGCCTGCTGAGAACGGCGTCTACCCAGTGGGCAATGCCAAGCGGACCGCGCCTTACGGCGAGCGCGACCCTCTGCCAGAGGGCTATGGCATCCGCACTGGCCTGTCGGACCTTCTGAAGCCACTGAACGCTGAAGCGGGAGTTGTGGCCAAGGAGGACAGCATCCCTACGGTGCTTGTGATGGTGACAGGCATCGTCATGCTGTTCTTGTTCTACCTCCTGCTCCTGCTGCTCGACAACCAGTCGGTCTTGCTGCCGCCCGAGGACGAGTTCGACGAATATGCAGCTAGTCTGGGTAGTATCCATGTTCGCTTCCTGAGGATATAGGTGAATCATGGTTGTGTATGCGGTACCGTCGTGTCCATGTGTCGTCGAGCTGTGCCAAGGTGCAGAATTTCCTGCCATACTTCTTCTTCGGTGAGAAGTGAGCCGAGCTTTCTGATTTTCCCACCCGAAAGCATCTGCGATGTCACGGCAAAGCCATGTTCGTCACCTCGTTGCCAGCGGACCCAACCGACCATGAAAGTTGATTGACAGCTGAGTGCTGAGCAGTTCGGCTATGTGTGTTTTCATGCAGGCATGTGCACATACGAGGTCGTGAGGCTTTCTTAGCCGTACAGCTAGGCCCAGTACTTGCCAAGTACGATGATAGCTGCATAAGTCAAGTAGCATGATGGGGGGTGTTCATGCTTTCGTACGCACGGTTTGCGGCTCCAGGCATTTTTGATAGACATCGCCCAGTATCCGCTGTCTTTGTTGTGTCGCAGATCATGGCTCGTGGCATGTTGGTCCTTGCCTTCGGCTGCATGTGCCTGTGGGCGCTGAGCGGCCACGCTTTTGTGAGTGGCCCAGCCATGCAGACTCGTCAGGTGTCCGTGTCGGCGGCTGCACAGGTAGCTTACGAAACGGACATGCCTGCTGAGAACGGCGTCTACCCAGTGGGCAATGCCAAGCGGACCGCGCCCTACGGCGAGCGCGACCCTCTGCCAGAGGGCTATGGCATCCGCACTGGCCTGTCGGACCTCCTGAAGCCACTGAACGCTGAAGCGGGAGTTGTGGCCAAGGAGGACAGCATCCCTACGGTGCTTGTGATGGTGACAGGCATCGTCATGCTGTTCTTGTTCTACCTCCTGCTCCTGCTGCTCGACAACCAGTCGGTCTTGCTGCCGCCCGAGGACGAGTTCGACGAATATGCAGCTAGTCAAGGTAGTATCCATGTTCGCTTCCTGAGGTTATAGGTGAATCATGGTTGTGCATGCGGTACCGTCGTGTCTCTGTGTCGTCGACCGAGCTGTGCCAAGGTGCAGAATTTCCTGCCATACTTCTTCTTCGGTGAGAAGTGAGCCGAGCTTTCTGATTTTCCCAACCGGAAGCATCTGCGATGTCACGGCAAAGCCATGTTCGTCACCTCGTTGCCAGCGGACCCAACCGACCATGAAAGTTGATTGACAGCTAAGTGCTGAGCAGTTCGGCTATGCATGTTTTCTTGCAGGCATGTGCACATACGAGGTCGTGAGGCTGTCTTAGCCGTACAGCCAGAGCCAGTACTTGCCAAGTACGATGGTAGCTGCATAAGCTGCATACGTCATGCAGCATGCGGGGGTGTTCATGCTTTCGTACGCACGGTTTGCGGCTCCAGGCATTTTTGAGAGACATCGCCCAGTATCCGCTGTCTTTGTTGTGTCGCAGATCATGGCTCGTGGCATGTTGGTCCTTGCCTTCGGCTGCATGTGCCTGTGGGCGCTGAGCAGCCGCGCTTTTGTGAGTGGCCCAGCCATGCAGACTCGCCAGGTGTCCGTGTCGGCGGCTGCACAGGTAGCTTACGAAACGGACATGCCTGCTGAGAATGGCGTCTACCCAGTGGGCAATGCCAAGCGGACCGCGCCCTACGGCGAGCGCGACCCTCTGCCAGAGGGCTATGGCATCCGCACTGGCCTGTCGGACCTTCTGAAGCCACTGAACGCTGAAGCGGGAGTTGTGGCCAAGGAGGACAGCATCCCTACCGTGCTTGTGATGGTGACAGGCATCGTCATGCTGTTCTTGTTCTACCTCCTGCTCCTGCTGCTCGACAACCAGTCGGTCTTGCTGCCGCCCGAGGACGAGTTCGACGAATATGCAGCTAGTCAAGGTAGTATCCATGTTCGCTTCCTGAGGTTATAGGTGAATCATGTTTGTGCATGCGGTACCGTCGTGTCTCTGTGTCGTCAAGCTGTGCCAAGGTGCAGAATTTCCTGCCATACTTCTTCTTCGGTGAGAAGTGAGCCGAGCTTTCTGATTTTCCCACCCGGAAGCATCTGCGATGTCACGGCAAAGCCATGTTCGTCACCTCGTTGCCAGCAGACCCAACCATGAAATCAGTTCGAGCCGCGATGAGTTTTGGCGCTGCTTCCACGGTATCGATTGGGTAGCCGGTAGCCAGTAAGCTTAGGCAGCATTTCGAGGTTTCGAAGCCGAATGAGAGGTTCGCAAGGTAGTGATCATGAAGCTTCAGACAGTGGAGGGTCGACCGAAGATGTAAGCGGGCGTTCCGTACAGCACTTGCAAGTAGTGAGAATGAGGCACGGATGCCGTGAGATAACGCTTGTGTCCTCGTGTGGCTAATGCCTGGTATGAAAGAGAGAGAGGGAGGGAGAGAGAGAGAGAGAGAGAGAGAAGCGAATCCTGGCATTCCGATGTAAGATCCAGAGCCAAGACCTCACAAACCTAGTCCGCCAAGTCTTCCCTTCATTACTGGGCCAGAAGCGTGAATCCGCACTCCTAAAAAGCCCCACCATCAGCCCCAAGGACTTGTTCTTGTCTCTCCATGGTTCCAAAGGCTTAACATCTGAGACACCCATCATATCCTAAAGCCTGAGCTGTGCTGCTGTGGTCTGGAACAGTGGCAGTTTTGCAGTAGCGGGTCCCTTCAACGCTCCCGAGTGTGACCGTCCAACAGCAAGCCACAGCGAGAAGCACGTTGTCTTCAGGTCATTTTCTGGATTATGTGGCGCAGGAGTAGCGGTTTACAGCTTCTGAAACGATCCTACAGAGCCTTACATCCAAAAGCCCTGCAGCCCGCACCGACATGAGTCTCACGTCAAATGGCCCAACTAAGTGATGCGAAGCGACCACGCTACGAAAACCGAGTCGCATAGGCTGCTACTTTGCAAAGTCGCTGTGCCAAAAGAATCAAACACCCGGAGTCTTGCAACCTGAACCTCCGAAAATAATTCATGTAGGAACCTGCTTAAGAAACCCGGGGCCTACAACCCCAAAATAGTCGGATTCATAAAAGGATCCCCAACAAAGGCCCAAGGTTTCTTAACCAGGTTCCTACATTAGTCCGAGAAGAAGGTCAACACCGCACAAGTGGAAAGCCTTGAAGGCTTAAATCCCTAACCCCGAAGTCCTAAAGCCTTATAGCCTGACACGACCTAAAAGCCTTGAAGTACCTGAGGGCCTTAAAGCCTTCTTAAAGCCTTAAGCTAAAGATGGCCCCATGGCTCGACGTCGCCGAAGTGTGGACCACACCCCCACCGTGGCACATCGACTCCGTCCAGCTTAGGTTTCGGGATTTTGGACTCTTGGGCTGAACCCTAACCCTAAACCCTAAAACCCGAAACTCTAAGGCCTCCAGGGATTAGAATTTAGGATTTAGGCCTGTCGCGGCATAGCTCATCGAAGAGAGCCTCAGGTTCAACATCTCAAAGGGTCAGTGCGGTGAAGGGTGTAGCTTTGGCCGAAATTTGGGGTGTAGAGCTGAGAACAGGGACTGGAATGATTATGCGGCACTATTCCTTTACAGCCCCAATACCTACAGGCCAGCAGCATCATTCATGTTTAAAAGGAACTGTTCGGACTTTGTGTTGCCTTTATATTGCACATGTTCCGCCTTGTTCAGGGATGAGCTCCTTGAAAAGCTGCCAGGCGTTAGCCCTGGGCTTTGTATCATATTCCTTGCAAAAAAAACCTAAGCAGCTCAAACCCTAAACCCTAAACCCTCCGAACCACATGCCTCGCCTGGATTGTCCGAGTGTGAGCGCCGAAACCCTCCAGAACCCCTTATAAGTACCCTAATTGGGGTTATAAGTATAGTTACCCTAATTATAACCCTAGTTACTAAGTCCCATGATCCTTTAAGTAAGCCCAGATCCCCAAGCTCAGACTCTGGAAGTCACCGGCTCGGGAACTATTCAGCAGGAGTCGTCCCCCACAGCATCGGCTCTTGACCCTTGTTCCCTCACCGAGGAAGCCCTACATGAGTTTACAAGACCCTAAACCCAAAGCCTCAGCAGAGGTGGGCAAAGGACCCGTTCGTTCACTTGCGGAGAAAGGGCTACTACACCTCAACAAAACAGCCCAAAGCCCATAAGTCCCATAAGTGTAGCGATTCGACTGGCAGTTTAGGTGAGGCAATTTCTACACGGAAGCCTTTCGGCCGGCAGAGGCTCCGAGCTCGCAGCCCTAAATCCTAAACAGTATAGTCATGAGGCACGCAGTATAGCATGGTATAGCGCACTATAAAAATAGTATACCCTAAACCTTTAGAGCCCTGAGGTGTCTTTGCTTCTGCTGGTGACCTGCATCTCATGCGGCTTCGTCGTCGTGCTCGGTCTGCAAGATCGGCATCAGCCTCCCAGACCCCAGACTCGTTAGCTATGGGCCTTAAGTCTCACACACAGCTCAAAGCTTCAGCCCTGAATAGGACGGAGGGCCCCGCGAAAGCATCGGTCCAAGCAAATCTGAACCTGGCTTCATAATGTGTTTTGGGGCATACTATACCATAATCATACTAAGGAGCCCTCAAAATAGCACCTGGCTTCCATTACATCTGTGTCAGATCGAAACCTGCAGCCCGAAGCCTTGGGAGCCTCAAGGTGCTGCGCAAGGGTTTTAGGTTTTCGGATTTAGGTTTTGGGTTTCGGGTTTAGGGTTTAGGGTTTAGTGCGTACTTAGCCTCAGCATCTCGCCACGAGTGCGATGTGCTTGGGGATTCTGGCCGGGCGAGCACTAATCAAGCCTGTGGAAAAGGGTTTATGGGGTTGCATCCAGGTGCTCCACAAGAATGGCTATTTGGATCAGGCCTGCGGAGGGTCTGGCAGTCCGGCCGTGCGTCGGAGGAAGTTTTGGGTGAAAGGCTGCGTTTAGGAAGCCCTAAACCTGTGTCCGAGTTGCGAGAGCATAAATCCTAAACTCACGGAAGGATCTGTGGGTTAGGGGTTTTGGTTTTTGGCCTGGAGGTTAAGCCCTAAACACCCTAGACACCCTAAACCCTAAACCCTATACGGGCTGAGGAGGCTGTCAGATTCTGTCAGGCGGACTCAAAAAGGCCCTAAAAAAACCCTAAACCCCAAAATCCCAAATGGGGAACCCAGCAAGGCGGCCTTTGCCACGGCTCATCGATTTCGGCCGGAGGTTGCAGCCACCACGGACCGGGGCGCGTAGCGCAGAGGGCATGAGGGCTTAGGCTTTGAAACTTTAAAGTCTTTTGGGGATTTTTTGAAGCGTGCTGTGGGGTATTATTCAAGGTCGACGGGGGTTTACTGTTGAGTGTGTTGGGTCTTGGGGTTCAGGATGTCAGGGTCTAGGGTTTAGAGGATAGGGTTTCCCAGTACGATCCCAGTGCGTGTATATACATGTATACCCATAAAGCATACACATATAAGTGTGTATGTATGTGTACATATACACATATTATACATGCAAATGTATTACATGTATGTATGTATGTATGTACGTACGTATGTACGTACGTAGGTATGTACGTATGTACGTACGTATGTACGTACGTAGGTATGTATGTAGGTACGTACGTACGTATTAATGTGTGTCTGTGTTGTATTTTTCTTCCATACATACATGCAGGCACACACGTACACATACACATACATACACATACATACACATGCATACACATACATACACATGCATACACATACACATACACGTACACATACGCATACACGTACACATACATGTACATATACATTACATATACATCTACACCTACGCCTACGCCTTCGCCTACACATACACATACGCATGGACACCTACATACACACATACACAGATACACACATACATACATACATACAAACATACATACATACACACATACATCTATCCATCTATCCATCTCTCCATCTATCCATCTATCCATGCATGCATGCATGCACACGAACACACATACACTTCATATATATATATATATATATATATATATATATATACACATGCACACGCATGTATATATGTATATATATATATACATGCATGTACTTAGGTTTGCATGTATGCATGTATGCATGTCTGTCTGTATGTATGTCTGCAAGCATGCATCCATGTATGCATTCATTCACACATGTATGCATGTGTACTTGTATGTATGTTTTTCGGTAATGTAATGTATGTATACATGTATGTTTGTAAATATGTATATGTACATGTGTGGGTATACATATGCATACCTGTGCCTCTGTGTGTGTATGTGAATATGCCCATAAATATGATGTGTTTCCTCACTTTTGTTCCGTGCACAAGCTGTATGTCTTATGCAAACATTAGGGCCGAGGGCATTGCCGTTCGAGTCCTAGCATCTCTCTACTTTGCGGCTCTTGGAGGAGCTGGCAACCCGCACCCCTCGTGCTGGCCCGCCGCCCCGCAAAGGCCTCTCAGCAGTGGCTCGGCATGAGATCGGTTCTGGAGTCGTTATCTTATGTTGGTGTTGGCCGCGCTACGGCCGTGAAGTGCGGCAGTTTTGTGGTCGAAGTAGGTAGATGTGTATACGAGTAGGCATAGGAGCAGTTAGTAGTCGTCGTAGTAGAAGCCGTAGATTTATTAGTACAGTGGTAGTAGTATAGTGGTAGTGCTTTTGGGGTGCTGGTAGTAGCAGCGGGTAACTCGAACGAGTAGTAGCAACTAGTACCGGAGCATGCCAGTAGCTTAACACTTATCATAAAAAAAAACAAGCAGGCCGGCCCTTGCACGACTCAACAGCGCCGAATTCGGACTGAGTTGAGAAATGCAAATCACTAGTCTTAAATGCTGGGGGTCAAAAACGCACGGGTCGGAGGCAACAACGCCCTGAACCCAAACCCCAAAGCCTAAACCTTGAACCCTAAACCCCAAACCCTAAAGCCTAAACCCCTGGCTGTCCTGGGCACCGGAGAAAATTAGTTCAACAAACAAACACAAACTCTAAACCCCAGACTCTCGAAATTGCGAGTGTGAGCGTCGAAACTCTCGAAATCCAAGGTCTTCGCCCTGCCCGGCGGGCGCCTCGCGCCGACGCCCTGTGGCGATGCTGGGGCGTTGCTCGCTCGGAGTGTGGAGGCCGAGTGAATCATGTACCATAGGCGCTTAAATATATGTATATATATATATATATAGTTTTTTTTTATTTTTTTTTTGATTTTTGGGGTTCCTTGAAAGGGTTCCTTTAAGGGTTCCTATAAGGATGTTGTAATTAGGGGTTTAGTTTTGGGGCCGTAATAAGTACCTATACTATTCATTATCACTATAGACTACAGCGTAATATACCCCCAAACCCTATTCTAATGGCTAAGGCCTTAAAATGCGACAGTACACCACTGTTCTCTGATGTGTAAAATTGGCTTAGAATATGCTGAATGAGACTATCATGCATTATGCTCGTCTTCGACTATAGAATACTATATCAGACAACAAGTAGAAAAGGTCATACTCGACTATCATAGATTAGGATACAGCAATTTGCCCAGGTCTTCGGGGAGACGCAGGGCTTCGGTTTCAGGTGTCTAACAGGCGTTAGGGTTTAGGGTTTAGGGTTTAGGGTTTAGATATGGTAGTGTAGAATAGAATTTGAGAGTCTATGGCGGACTTGCTGGCGGACACGTAGAGCCCAGCTGCAAAAAAAGAGTCTATTGTAATACATATTCTTTACATTATAGCATATTGAATATTGTAGAAAATTATGGCGACATTGTCGAAAATGGTTCAAAAGGGGTAAGGCTGAGGAATTACAGTCTGGGGTCAAGAAGGCTTTGGAGCCCGAGCTCCGGGCTTTGGATTCGGGGTTTTGGGATTTGGGATTCACGTTTGAGTAGGTGCGCGGAACTGCGCGGTTTGCACTTTTTCTCCGTGCATTATCGAGTACTGTGCCAGTTGCGCTCCGTGGCAAGAGCGGCTCTGTGAAATCCGAGTTAGATGAAGAAGTTGGAACGGCGATGTGCATATGTCTAAATTAGCCATATAGGAGTCCCTCTAAGGCCTATAGAAAGCTAGATACCTTGCCCCTCAGGGTCCTGGTGTAGAGTGCCTAGGCTGAGGGCTTCAGATAACCAGGTACTTTTAGCCTTTTGCTTCACTCCCAGACCCGATAGTAGACATGTCGGTGAATCTGGCAGTGGGATTGCTGAGCGGCAAGGCGGTTAGTCTGGAAGCCTCCTTAGATGAAACGGTTGCCACGTTGAACCGTCGAGCAGGGACGGCGCTCGGCGTCGGAGAAGGTCGGCTGGTGGACTCATGTGGAAGGATTCTGGTTTCATCTGCGACGCTCAAGCGTATGAGGCTACAGAACGATCAATCACTGACGTTGCATGTAAGCAAAGTTCAAATTCATGCCACTGCCTATGCTTTTGCTGCCATTCTTGGCGATGGATCTGTCGTGTCCCGGGGTGATGCTGCCTGTGGTGGTAACAGTAGTGAAGTTCACGATCAGCTGAAGAATGTGCAGCAAATCCAAGCCTCTGGTACGGCTTTTGCTGCCATTCTTGCAGGCGGATCTGTCGTGACCTGGGGTATCTTCGGGGGTGACAGTAGTGAAGTGCAGGATCAGCTGAAGAATGTGCAGCAGATCCAAGCCTCTAGCAGCGCTTTTGCTGCCATTCTTGGCGACGGATCTGTGGTGACCTGGGGTGATGCTGACTTTGGTGGTGACAGTAGTGAAGTCCAGGATCAGCTGAAGAATGTGCAGCAGATCCAATCCTCTCGTGGGGCTTTTGCTGCCACTTTGGGCGACAGATCTGTCGTGACCTGGGGCGCTGACTACTATGGTGGTGACAGTAGTGAGGTCCGGGAACAGCTGAAGAATGTGCAGCAAATCCAGGCATGTTTCTCTGGATTTGCTTTTGCGGCAGTCTTGGGCGATGGATCTATCGTCACCTGGGGTGCTTCGAACTATCGTGGACAGGCAGACGAACAAGAGCAGTAGGAGGAGGAGGAGGAGGAGGAGGAGGAGCCGGAGGGTGAGGAGGACGAGGAGCAGAAAGAGGAATTTCAGGAACCGGCTGCCATTATATAGTGCTGCTCAGCCTTCAGCAGGTTTGTCGCAGCAATCAGCAGCCACCCCGTTTGGAGAAAGCTCACCTCCTTGGGGTGCATACTCATCTTGATCACCCTGAACCCAAAGCCCTCAAACTTACCTTTGGAGTAGGGAATGGAAGAATGGTAGTAATCGTGGTTAGAATTAAGGAATGGAAGAATGGGGTACAATTATAAATATCCTCTTAGTACCATTCTTCTTAAGCCCCGATAGATCCCTTTAAAGGATCCCTTAAACCCCCTATAGGTAAGCAAATGCAAGCCCTGGGAGCCCAGGTGTGTTTGCGGGTTTGCGGTTACAGGCTTGGGGTTTAAGGTGGGCCTCCTGGCCTCTGACTTCAGCGCAGAGGTGGCAGGTTCCCAAAACATCTTACTCCTCAGTGTTCCGCAATAAAGATAGGGTATAATATGCCGCAAATCCCAATTCTAATTATGAAGGCCCCTACATCAACCACAAGACTATCCGTTTTGTCTCAACAGCTGAACTTTAACGCTATGCCCAAAGCAGCCTTGAAAGAAGCAGTCTTTGACTCATGGGTAGCACGAGAACCACTCAGTCGAAGCCTTCAGCCTGGGTGCTTGTCGGATATCGTGGCCCTAAGCCTCAAGCTGGCGGAGAGCCCATTCAGTACCTTAACCGGCTCTAGACCCTGAGCGGACGGATTAGAGCAACAGGGCACCTCTTGACGGAAAAGAGGACCTCATGGAGTCGTCCGGCGACGTGCTGATCGAGATCTTGGTGATTGAGGTACGGAAACCTCTGATTCAGAAGATGTATGTATGTATGCACGGATATAGGCATGGATGTATGTGTGTATGTGTATGTATGTGTGTAAGTACATATATATGTATATATGTAGATGTGAGTGTACATCTTGGGTTTTGTCATGGACGGCAGAGACACATCTTACTCTTTCGGTTCAGTGCAGCTTTCGCTCTGTAGCGAGCCGCAGCATTCACAACCTGACAGAGGATGGTTAGGCATTTAATCAGCCAACCAGACCAACAAATGCACCCACCCAGAGATGCTCGGAAACAAATGCCTGGTCATCTCAAATCACAAGCGTTACTAATCTCATATAAGCCGGTATAGTTCCTCCTTCCCACAAAAAGAGAAAAGGAGCCTGTGCAGCCTTCTGGATCCTTCTAGACTCGCGCTCGAAGTCCATGCTTTAACTTGAACCTTCAGCTGCACACGCGCAAGCCCATAGCTTGGCCCGGAACCCTAACCGTCAACCCCCTCGCTCTCCAAGCCCAAGATCGCAGGGGCCTGAACACAGGGTTTTGGGGTAGAGCACGCTATGAGCAAGAAGGCAACTACAAGGGGATGCCATTACTTTCAATTGCAGGGCTCCGGTCTTGGGGCTCCTCTCAAGGATTCATTCACGACTTTCGGGTTATTGGGAGTTCTTCGGAGGATGGAACCCAGCCGCCCGTGCCGAAGCCAGAGTTCACAGGCAGGTTTGGGCTTTAAGTTTGGGCTTTAAGTTTTGGGCTTTGAGTTTTGGTCTTTGGGGTTGAGCTTTGGGTTTCGTTTCTTCAGGCTTGGGAATTCAGGACGTTGTGGGTTTTGGGTTCAGGGGCCCAGTCCGAGCGCTCACTCTTTCGTGATGACAAAGGGCTAACCATTTAAACATGAACAATAGGTAGTATATAGAGAGGTCTGCTGGGCAATATGCACAGTTTCATGCTTGACAGAGGATTCCAGGACACGCAATGTGTTCCAGTGACAGCTGAAGGGCACCTGTAAGCCGTCACGGAGCAAGAGCTGTTGGGGCCGATCTGGGTTTAGCGTGAGATGGGAATTTCCGAAAATAGGGGACCCCAATATAGCATCCCAAAATAGTAGGATCCTCAAAATTATAAGGATCCCAAAATAAGGTACCCCGATTGTCGGTAACTCCCAGATGGAGCTCCGATTGTAGGGCTTGGGCCCGGATGTTGCAGATGGGTGCACACTTTTTTCTTGGATCTGGAAGGCTTCTGCCAAAGCGGCCTTGTGGAAGCGAAGATCTTATTTATTACCATTCTTATTATCATTAGTCGCATTATTATCATTATCATCATTATGCCAATGTTTTAGCATTTTTGTCATTGTCACTGTCATTATTCTGTGTATTGTTATTATTACTACTGCTCATACCTTGTCATCACCCGAGAGGCACCCGAAACCCCGAAAGCCAAGCCCGAGGCGTTTTGGTTTCTTCGCCAGATTCTGCTTGTCCGAAGCCCCTAAGCATGGTCCCCACAATAGCAAAAAAGTAATGACGAGAATAAAGATAACAGTAGTAGTAAGAATAACAATCGGTTAATAATATTAATAAGAAGAATAACAGTAACAATAACGATAATAAGAATATGAATGACAATGGGCACATTAATGTCAATACTACCAGCGGGCAACATGTAAGCTTGGAGATACGTGGAGTGATGGAGCTCGCGACCATGCGCCTCAAGTAGAACCTGCACTCTGAAATCTTGTAAGACTCTGGACCTTGAGACAAGACACAATGTAACAGGTCACCCACCCCCTTCTTGCGAAGGTATGGCATGGAGGTATTTGGAGCTTCCGCGCGCAGAGGAGGAGCTCTGCGGGGAAGGGAGTTCGGACAGTTAGGAAGGCTTCTCTCTTCCTCCCATGGCTTTCTCACATAATTTCTAGCCTGAGGACTACCGCCACCACTAGACTAGCACAACTGCCGTGCGTACGTGCCTCCAGGTACTGTCGGATATTTGTTGGCCGGTTGAAACAACCATTGCTTTGAACAGCCGTGCAGCCTTGCACATCATGCCAGATCTGGGAATCATCAAGATCTTCAAGGGTTCAGCGGTTGCGAAGTCTGTTTCGATTAGAAAGCCGGGCAACCGTGGAGCTGTTTCCATGTGCGGGCATGTTTCGATGTCCGCTGTGGCCCGTCACCGGGTCACTTTTTTTCGCCCGCCATTGCTCTCTGTGCTGCTTCAATTTCGAAAGCCGAAGCCATAAACCCCGTTGAGATGCCGTGCCGCCACGCGATCAGGCAGAAAAAGGTCGCCGTAGG